ATCCTGCTGGCTAGTGTCCCAGGCTCAAAGAAACTTATTGCAGGGCAGAATGGTCCCCTGCAGCTTTACTTACTCCAAATGCAGAAACAAAAATGGGTTATTTGCTCAGCATTTATGCCTGTCCAAATTTCTCCTGCCCTTTTTATGCACCCCCGTCAGGCACTCATGAGGGCAAAGATATTAGATTTGTTGAATACAATTTGGCACGAGGGACTCATTACCTGTGTTTCTGGCCAGCAGTGTAAAGTTCTCACAGAGAGGGAAAACGTCAAAGCTTGATACATCAAATTGATTTTCAACACTGGAGTTAACAGAATTTGTGTCAAGGTTACATGTGTGTACAATGTCAGCGACTCTCTTTTTTCTGTGGGCTTTTTGGAGGGCTGGGTTTGTTCTGTTTTTTGGTTTTTTTTAACATGTGAACCCATTATGACTTGGTTGACTGATGCCGTGTACCCATTGGGATACACATGTACTGCTTGGGAAATTGTATTGATCCCTTATTATGACACACAGACTTGGCTCAACCTAGCGGTATGACGTACAAGTGTATACAAGGCGTAGATGTGTTTTACTGGATTCCAGGCTCAGTCTTTCTTTGTATGGCAAAATTTCATGACAGGTAATATTTCTTCTTGTCCTCTGTTCTGCATTCAATTTAACACCCGGTTCAAGCAGAGCCTACTTTTACTAGAAATTTTCTGCGCGTAAATAAGTGCAACATTGAGATTCAGTGCCTTGGATAACATCATAGTTCTGCTCATGAATATGCAAATATGCATTAGCGTAAAACCAAAAAAGCATCAAGATATGGGTTAAAATTGAAAAACAAAAATTTAAAATACGGTTAATTGAAACTCAAGATGCAATTTCAAGGGTTTTTAAGTAAAATTTATAAAACATTTCTATTTCCTGATTCCTTTAAGTGTCACACGCAGTATACTTGCAGGGTTTTACTTTGTCATTTCATCAACAACTTTTTCCCAATTAAAATTTTGGATTATGCAGCATTCACATAAGTAGAAAACTGTTGTATGCAGTTGTGCAGTTCAAATGTAAATACATGTACATTCCTTCAATGGAGTTATTTCTCAACACTACACAAAACTGACTATCCAAGATGCATGTCTCGAGCCTTATATGAATGTACATGTACATGTATATCTAGCGAGCACGCAGCTCAGTGGATGTTTATATTCCAATCACACTTGTGTCAGACTCCTTGCCCCAGATAGAGTCATTATATGAACATCTTGGAAAAAGCTGTACTAGGTTTGGTAATGGATACCGTTAGAGTTCGTGAACTACAAGGATATATGCTGTCCTTCGGCAATTATACCAATAAAGGGGAACAAGTTTAATGTGTTTTGCAGTGGTCAGAAACACACATGTTTTTCAAACCCCAGGAATCCGTAGAACTAATCCTAAGATCCCCTTTGAAAAAAAGAAGTTGGGAGAACTTGAGAGGGAAGGGGACAAATGCCAACAGGTGTTTACGCAGAGCGTTGGTGTTATTTTGGTAGGATCTACGGGAACAGTGTGCTCTGGGCTGCCCTGGTTATGGCCTGGGCTCCTCTGGCCATCTGTTTAGGATTTGACAGATACCCGGGGCCCATTACAGGGCAGTTCTTTCTGGTACTAGTACTCTGATAATGACCATGGCATCTGTGATTGTTGTTTCTTTGTGTTTGATTGAAGAGGCTTGAGACAACACCTTTGTGCTTGCATTGATGCAATCTGTTTCAATCAGCATTGTCTCTGACTCTCTGCACTATAATGAGTTGGATGTGAAGGAGTACAGTTTTGCAGAGGGTCAGGTTTAGGGTCAGGCATGAACATTCCGAAGAGAAGGGCATGGAGGAGAAGTGCCCCCTCCCCCCCAAAAAAAATTGAACAAATAAAAAACAAAACAACTTGGCACAAACAAAATGGAAGGGATTGGAATCACCAATTTGCTCAAAAATGCCTAAAAAATAACCCCTTTTGCTGTTAATAGTTCATCGGTTTTTGTTGATGAGTGCTTTGCCCCCCAGAAAAAGTGCTTTGCCCCTGTGGAAAACCCTGGTGATACCCGTAGCATCAGGGTGTAGTTTTTCTTCCCACATCACTCTTATCCTGTGATAACCTCATCGGCTCTGTAGGCCTATTTCAAGAGACGCCTATCAAAGAATAACATAGTCAAGACCACACTCCACACCCATCTATCAGAATCTTGATACCTTTGTGGGTTAAATGTTTAGATCAATATAAAATCTGTCCTCTGATTGAACTCAGCATCAGGTAAATACTTTGTGTCAGTTTTCAGAGATGGTTGTCTGGCATCGTGTTGGCGTCATGAGAAAACATCTCATCATCTTGTGGCATTATGAGAGGCTAGGTAAACTGACCGATGCTTGAACTTCATTGTCTTGAACTTCTTGTCCGCTGCCATGTGCAGAGCATGTACATGTAGGTGTGCACATATTCAGATCGCATGCTAGGGAGCGTGCATATGTAATGGGCTAGACTCACAAAATTTCTTGTTGCTGGCTTAAGCGTACCTTCTCATTCATGCACTACTGCCACTAGGGAGCAACACTCGATGCATCAGCAGGTGGTCTGTAGTGTCTCAAAAGACAAAATAAAACAACTGTTGTTACAGGCACTGTACATGTAGTTGTCTTCATTACACGTTTTTGAACAGGAGGTAGTTTTTGGCAAATGGGTTATTTTGGAGACGAAGTTCTTTCCACACATATCAATCTCAAATATTCTAACAAAAGAAAGTCCCTCAACCTGAGGTGATCAGGGCATGTTTGTTTACAGTGTTATTCTGTGTACATAACTGTGACCGTGGTACATGTAGTTGATTCAGGTATGGTGATGTGCGGGTTCGAACTGCACTGGTACCAAGGCTGTAACTGCATTGAAGATGCAGTTTCATTTGTTAGGAAATTCGGGACCATGTTGTCCCCTCAACTTTTTGGGTCCCTCGATGTAGCACCCATGTTTCAACAGGTGCGTTGTTCCGACAACCTCAGTACACGTACCAGTGTGTGGGTTCTTGAACAGCTTGGGCAAAACCACAATCGCTTCTCTCTGCCCAGGGGTACCTGGAAGACTGCTCAAATTGCATTGATCTTTTCATCAAACGGGGCAATGATCATGATCAAGCCTTTTTTTTTATAGTTCCGTGATGTCGCATTATGTAAAGCATATAATTGTCACACTGAACAAAGAACAGTTGCAGTGGGTACCGTTCTGCAGGACGAAGAGAAGCAACCACACACCGTAAGTGTGTAAGCTTATGTTTGGGTTGAAACAAATACATGTAAGTCAGTGCCATGTCCTGCTGCAGATGTGTAGCCACAGTTCCATTTTTCATGCGAATACCTACAAAGCTGTCATGTCAGAGGCAGGTAAGCTACTTATGTGTGGTCACACCAACTTCTAAAACCTCACCCACAGAGGGTCAACCCCTTGACATAATTTGTTTATAGTTCACTGAACTTCACTCTCCTACAACACCTCAATAAATCCCCCAATCATCTGATTGGTAGGTTGTCGATCATGTGTCATCGACTGATACTGAAATTGTACAACTAAAATATATGTATGAGTTACAATGTTGGACTGTGGGTGTGAGTGGTAGGCACCGTCAGCTGATTCCACGGCCAAAGAGCTTGAACACAAAGGGAAGTTTTCAGGTTTTGTGTATTCACAAATAAAAAAATTAGAGAATAACTTTCATGAGGTGATAGATTGAATGTTCCATCTCACTAGGTTGCACCTCATGGAAGGAAACTTTTAACCTGTCACTTCATGGACTTATTCTTACAGTTGCATTCCTAAACATTCATTGTTTGTATACCATAGCATGGAAAACTTGCAGGTTGGAGTTTTTCCTGTTTTATCTCAGACTATATCCAGCCAGATGTCTGCGCTAATTCTTCTTTAACCCTAACTTCCTGGGGTGTATGTCAAATCTCATTAAAATTGCATGATTGGGGATTGTTAGGTTTAATTTGATTCCTAGCAGGACATGCAACTAGACTGTACGTGCTGTTTGAGCTGAGTCTAGTTACGCACTGCTGTATCCTAGGTGGTACATTTGGTCACATTATTTTATGACATAGGTTGTCATTTGACAAGTAAAGCGTCGTTTGGAGCAAACATCCGAACTCAGTAGGCATAAGGGGCTTGAAGCGATAAACCACAATGAAGGTTGCTGTTTTGCTCATATTTTATTATAGTATTAATGATAATGTAAGAGTGGAAGCTGTAGTTGAATGTAAGTTCAAGGTGATCTGAGAGCACTTTATGCTTATCAGCGTACTTTGTTACCTACCCAAGTAAAATGAATCACAAGTCTCCCCGGAGCAACTTTTGAGTGTAAGGCCTTCAGGAGAATCTTGCACCATGTAAAAAAAGTTGGAACCCTCAACATTTAAGTTATGCACCTCGAGCTGATCCAAGAGAGGGCGCTATCTCCTCAGCAACGGAGGCTCTTTTGATACTAACTGTGAATCACTGGTTCACGAATGACTAAGAAATGCAAGCGTTGCAGTCGCATTGCTAACAACAAAGTAAGCACTCCCAACCAACGTGGCTCCATTCCATGAATGAGTGGGTTCATTTGCTCGAGGTGGACACTCATCAGGCAGGCATGACAGCAAATGAAGAGGAACCATAGTTCATGGAATCAGATTGTCAGAATTTTTAGCTGTACAGATATTGGGGAAGTTTCCTCTCACAAATATGTTGAAAACTAGAGATACCGGAGAGAAAGCCTTGTGCACAGAAGAAAACCAGTAAAGGTTTACTCTGCGGACATGTAGCATAGACGAGAATTTGAACCTGAACCACAGTAGTGAGAGTGCTTCAGGCTTTAGCCACCTGTGCCACTCAGCACCACTCTGTAATCATGTAAGCGTTTGAAGATTTTAAAGTATTTCAGCAGTAAATGCACGCTTACTCGGTAAACAGGGTTTTTCGTCTGGCTTTTTCTCCCTGATATGCAGGACATCATCTTAAGCTGTTGTCTCAGTTTCCTCTATTTTGTTGCCTCCTGCATGATTGCCTCAGCTAGTGCTGCCTATAACCGGACATTTATAGTCGCTGATTGGACTGCCAGAAACAAGCTCATAGCTGGAGTGGTGAGTAGTTGTTTTGTTGTGATAGGAAGTAAGGGGAGAGCCCTCTCCTCTGATTGTCACCTGTCCTTTCAATTTGAGGTACACTTTCCTGCCATCAGATGCCATCAAAGCTTCCCCACGATGGCACCAATTTTGTCCCCCAAACTTAAAAAGTGTAGGAATAACCTCGCCGTTGTAACCTGTCTCCAGGGTTTGTGAAGTTTGTTTGTTCGTAGAATAAACCATTACACACAGTAAACTCTCGATAACTCGACCTCCAGAGGTTTGGATAAAAAATTTGAGTTAATCCAGATTTTGAGCTGATGGAAGTTCCCAAGTGTTGCCCACACATACACACACAGTGCACAAGTAACCCTACTTGCCCCATTGGAGATGTTATAAGCAATTATTTTCTTATGTCCAAGAATAAATTTCTTCTAAAAATCATCACTTAGCTGACATTTTATGCTTTTGTTCCATAAAATGTTCTATTCAATTAATGAATAAAACATAAACCACGCATCCAAACTGTGTACTTTTTTATGACAATTCTTTCGTTTGGTGCTCACTGCGGCGTGCTCACTTGGCCAGGGCCGGCCGGGCCAGCCAGGGGTTTTCCTGTTTGGCCAAATAATCGTTCCTTTTTAATCGCTTGAGGGCACACCATTTTGCATTTCAAACGTTCAAGCTTAAAAATATATATATGTATTTGTGTGTTTTTGTTTGTCTTTTCATTCCCTTATCCTTCCTTTTTAATAAAATTCGAGTGAAATTTGGCTACACAAAACAGCATTTCCAGCATAGCGCCAGGAAGGCATGTCAGTCTCAGCATTGGGCAGGCGGCAGCAGCCAGGCTTTAGCCACAGCATGCACAAAGCTTCCTTCAGTGTGGTCACATGTCCACCGTAAAGAATAAATGATTGGACAGCACGCGTGTGGGCTACATGTACATTTGGGCCGCGATGGCAATCAGGCTCGCTTGAAAGCCAGGATTTGTTTAGGTTGTAGTTGCGACGAGTCGATTATATGGCATTCATTGTCAGTTATTTGGCAGCAGTCATTTTGGAGTTAAGCAAATATAGTGTGGGTATTTCAAGTTACATAAAAGCCTTTTCTTTTAGCAGGAATGAAGAATGTTTCAAGATACGTGGAGTTTCGAGTTAACCGACTTTAAGTTACCCGGAATTTACTGTATATACTTTGTGTAAAAGTATGCATCTAGAAACATGTTGTGTTTACAAGCTTATCCTTTTCAAACGTAAAAACTACTTTAATGTATCAATGTAATAAAGTGTAATGTACCCCTGTAATTCTTGGTCCTTCCCTCCCCCCTCCCAGGTCCTGGGCTATACATGCTCCCTCCTCTATGCCGTCCATGTCCTGGGCATCCATATTCGCTTCAAGAGGAGGGTCCAGTTTCGTCACCAGCTCCTGCAAGTGGACTCTGGCTCTATTGACTCCATACAGCCGGAGGTGTAGCTGCAGCCACAGCAGCCATGTGCAATGATAGTTTACTTGCCATTACAGAAAATCGTCTTCAGTGGAAATTTTTGTTCTCAATGTTTGACGGAAATAAGGGTTAACTTTTTGGTGGGTATTCGGCTCTGGGTACTCTTAGGTATTTTTCAAGCCTGTTGCTGGGTTTTAGCTAGTGCATTAGAACATGAAAGACAAAGGAGTTTATTGTCTTAGAACTACAATTTAAGTTTGAAAGATTTTGATCTTTTGAAGATTCAAGTATCCTAGAATGTATCTTTATTGTGTGCAATAGACCACTGAAATATATATCATGGCAGTGGTGTATCTAAGGGGAGAGGCATGGGGGCACTATTTTAACCTATACTGTACCCATTGCCCCCCCCCTCCAAAATATGAGGGTCCCCCATAGTGCCCCCTGCAATATTTACCCCCGGTTACACCACTGTATCATGGTCACACTTATTGTAATACAGTTCCTCTGTGAATAATTACCTCCAGGTGTCTTCAACTGTCTTTGTATTGGACAACTAAATTCTATTCTGAGTTTTCTGTGAAAGATTCCACTGGGGACTTAATGTCGTTTGGATGTTGAAACAATTGTTGAAACAAATGCCGAGTGCCTAAGAGGCAGATTTTGCTCGTCAAGCAATTTCTGCTGATGGTGTAACCTGGAATGACACAGTGTAAGGGCGCAAAACTTAACTGCTAGGCACAAATCAGCCATGAGCTACTTCAGAGCAGTATATCCATACCAGGATATTGATCAGCGATCTGAAGGAAACTTGACAAATTTTTGTTCCCAACTCCAATGCCTTGACTTGGGCTCAATTTCTCTGATATTCTTCGCAGCGACATCATATGCTGGGCAAAAAAACAAAACCACAAAAAAAATTTGCCAACCAATTGGCTTGTTTTCTCATGGCTTGTTCACAGCCAAGTATGCTTACTGCATGACTTTGCTAAGTAGCATGTCTTCTGCCCTGCAGCTTTGTGAAATGGGTCCCTGTCTGGCATGGCAAACTAAAAAAAAAAAGGGCCACATCATACAAATATTGGGAGATCTTTGTCGGGAAAACTACCTTGGCTGTTTTCCCAGTGACGTAGCCACTGTATGTACATGTACATATAGCTGCTTGTGGTGGCTGCCATGTCTGGCATGGCACATAATTGCAGATGCTTCACAGATTCTGTCTGCAGTCTGTAGGCCTGCCTCGGGGAATGCTAACAAACTTTAGGCTGCTTTAAAATTCTAGGGAGTGAATCCTGGCAAGTCAGACCACTCGTTAGAATTCCAAGATTTAACAACGGGCCTGGGAGTGTTAAGATTATTTCAGATTTACCTCGAAATCTGAATGTTGAAATGAAAAGAATAAAGGAATTAACATGTGAAATGCTTTTTGAGTTGCTGGATGTCAAAATGGTGATCCTGCCAGCAAACGGTAAAGGGCCTTTAATGATGGCACGCAATTTTGGCTGGTCTTTTGCCACAGACCTAGCTGCATCATTGACAGATTTGACCAATTTTACATGATGTAATCAAGTCGCCTTCTCACCATAACCTCAGTGTTGCTGCACAACGAAATCAACTTTTATGTTCAGTTTCATTTGGGTTGAAACAGTAAAAAGGTGGTAGCAGTGTGGTTGAGCTTTTAGATTGTTTTTTAGATTTAGAGTTGCAAAGGAATAGTTTTATACAAAAAGACAATTTGCTATTTCTGAGTGGCCATAGGCATTGCCGTCCACTCCAAGAAAGTCATCAGGGAAGTTGCCAAGTTTCTTTGGTGTTGCATTTTCACTCATGTCAAAAGCTCTCAAACTTTTTGAGTTGACTGATCAGGATTCCGGACTGATAAGGATCATTAATGATTGGTGGAGTTCTTGTTTAAATGTACTGTGCTCTTTTACGAAGTAAATAAAAAAAGGCAAGTGCTTTATTTATTTAGTTAATTATTTGTTTGTTTTGGTAAAACTCCCATTTGAAATATTTTGGTATCTCAAAATGAAGTATCTTGTGAAGTACCAAGTTTTGAGAACATTCCAAAATTGTACAGTATTAATATTTGAGAACTAATGTATATAGACGCACTTGTGCACAAGTAAAGAAAATAAATGTGTCTTTTTGTGTTATAGTTCTTCAGTTTTCCCAATTGCATTAGCCCTAGTAAAAAGATCATTGCCCTTGTTGGTTTGGCAGGTGTTTTTATTTTACCATTAATTTCCCATCCTCGAGGGCTGTAAAACAATGAATTTGTTGTCCGGCCCGGTGTTTAATGAAGTTTTTCTTATGCCTGCCTATCCTAATATTTCACTTAGAGAGGTTAGGTTTTAAAGGCGGACAGAAAGGTTAACAGAAGAACCAGTTTCCTCTGTGGGAGTGGTTTATGATTCCTACATGGGAAATTCATCATGTGCAATATCTTAAAAGGTGCATCATGGATGGTTATTGCAGTTTAACACTTATGATTAAGAAAAGATAGCATGTAGGAATAAATTTCAGCCTTGGGCTTCATGCCCTTTAACCCTTTTTCAAAAGAAAGAAAACAGTTTCAGTATTCCCTGGATCAGCATTTGTGAAATCTTTCAAGATCAGATCCTCAGCTAAATGTGAGCCCTCATATAGCAGGATTTTTTGGTTACTGTTCAACTGAATTTCTTTTTCCTCTTGGCAAAAATGTAGCCTCTCACAATTGGAAGAGAAAAAAAAGGCTGGACTGATAAAAACCATTCAGCTGCCCATGCATAAGGTGTTATCTGAAAAACAATTTATATGTACGACTTGGGCATCTTGAGATCCAAATTATTACCCAGGAGGCCCCAAATTGCGGGCCTATAGGGGGCGGCTACATTCAGAAATGTACATTCCATTGTTTATCTAGTTTTATTTTTGTACATTTTTGTATCTTAAGTCATTTTTTATCTAGTCTTTTTCTTGTATTTGTTGACATTTTTATGGAGACCCTCTCGACAGTGATTGAGTTCGCTTTTCCGCTATCCGTCAGGGGCGTCAGCAAATATTGTTCCCATATGTTGATATGTATCAGGTTTTATATTTTGTGTTGGTTTTTGTACCCTGAGAAATAATAAATGAAATGAAATCTGTAACTAGTGGGGGGGAGGGGGGCATGCATGCAGGGACTTGATTGCCAGGCCCCTCTCTCATTCAGAAACTGGCCCCAGTAGTAATGAGTGCTCATCATTTGGCATGAGACACTCTGCAAGATTACAACTCTGTTGGCCTTGTCTGGTTCCATTGTTCTGATTTATCTGTCTCATGGCATTTTGTTTAGTCTTGTTTGAAGTTGTCATGGTCTTTATCTGGTCTTTTCCTTCTTCCAGAATCTTTGTATGTTTTCTTTGGTGGTGGTGGGGGGTTGACTGATTTTGCACTCTTTAACAAGTGTTGGCAACTCTAATTTCATTGTCGAGCCCTGAGGTTGTATTTTTATATCCCCGATTCTCCTTTTATCTCCATATTCTGATTTCTCTATCTGTTTCATAGCTACTCTTTGTGTGCCATTCTTTGGGGTGTTTTGTTGTCATGCTCTCGTCCCCATCCTTCTGCATTCAACCTGTTGTTTCTGATTTTCCTTTTTGGAGGTAAAGCAGCCTGCTTTACCACTAGACACCACTGATGGAATGGGGGAGGGGACAACAGGTGCCACAGCCTGGCCCCAAAGGAGCAAATTATTCTGTTGCTTGAAAATGAGAAGAATAGTGTTTTGAGGGGACCATTTCAATTCCGTTCCCTCCAAAAGCATGTAAAAGACTCCAAAGTTTAGCTTCACCCCTCACGGGCCCTAAAAAACTGACAAAATTTACCAAATCTTTTGGGTCCCTGGAACGGTTTTTGCCCTTTTGAAAAAAAAAAAAATTAGTTTCAGGCACGCCAGACGCTCAAAAGTCGCTGCTTTAAAACTGTCTGACCCCATATGCAGGTCTGTGTATAGCTGAAACCTTATAGCATTTGGATGGACAATAAAATGAAGTTAGCAACAGGGAAATAAGGATAGTGACCTGGAGGGTTTGGCACATGTATGTGTAATGCTGACCTGTTTCAGTGCAAGAGTACACTCATCTGTTTTGACTTGCCCAGGTTTTTTTTTTTTTAATGTAAAGATCTATCCTGACAGTGAGGCCCACTTTCTGGTGAACTACTGCCAACAAGAACGTGTTGGCTTATCAATTGACTGGACTTTTAGTTTTTAGTATCTGCACTGATAAGGGAAGCCAGAGGTACAGAAAGTCAGCAATCTCACCGTTCATGGGTAGTTAAATGATAGCTGTGGCATATATCATTCAGCAAATGCACACTGTATGGACAGGAACTTTTGTCCTGGCATAAGAGTAACTTAACACCCTGTATATAATTTGGGCATGCTGCTATTGTCTGTTTAGTCCAACATGTTGCTGTTTAACACTTAAGTGTATAATGAATAACTTTTTGTACCTCATTTGCCATCTTATTTTATTATTGCAATAACAAAGTGAAATTGCACAGTCAGGTTTTTGTGTCAGTCAAGCTGTATTTTATGCCATGAAGATTTAACTGAAGTGGAAATGCACACACCTACACTTGAGGTTTTGACACAGTAACTTTTGGATTTCCCCTTTGTCCCTTGCCTTTGTGACATCCAGCGTATTGCATCATTCTACACTTCATGTACATGTATATCGTTGCATGCATTGCAGCTTCAATTTACTTACTCTTTGTCTTGTACCTAATGTGTGCTCTGTGCATGGCTATTCAGGCCCGGAAAAGCTGCATCCTAATGATCCTGGCTACAGCCGCTAAGAATGTAGGCACCCCGGTGAGCCATCACCATGAACACATGCATGTACATGTGTACTCCAATCAGCTGTAGCTGAGTGATTTGAATCGAGCATTTGGAGCCAATCAGTGAGTGTAAATCCCCAACCCTGGGGGGGCCCACAGATTTTCAAAGTAAAGGTGTACAAAGCCTGACCTGCTGTGGTGGGCAGCAGGGCCCTTGTCGGCTGGAGGAATACTTGTCTCTAGTGTAGTTTTCAGCACCAGAGGGCACCACCATGGTCAAAGTGGAGTGTAGTACAGAGGCTTTGGGGAAACCAAAGCCAACTGCAAAAATGTTAGTAGTTTGTGAAACAGAATTCCTGTACAAGTAATCAACTGATTGGCGCCACCAGTAGCATACTGTCACAGCTGTTAGCAGCATTTCCACACGTATTTGCATTCAAGTACCAGCTGAAAGGCAACAAATGTTAAGAATGATGATTACTGCAGTTGGTTTTTATTGGTAACTTTTCCAAACTATACCAAATTTTTACAACTGTAACTTTTTTCCCCTTTAATTGTATCAATTTTTTTTATTTGGCCCAAACATCCATCAGATCAGTAAAAAAAAATGTTTTCCTAGTTAATTGTGCATTACAGCTTACATTAACTTTTAGACATTACTTATGCTGAGACCAGGCTTTGAGCGTATACAGATGGGAACTGGATCTTGGATCCCAAACAATTGGGTCATTCTATAAATTTGGGGTCCAAAAGTGTAATTTTTGTGACACTGTTACATTTGACGTGGAAATATCAGAGGAATTGATTTCAAAATATTTGTTTGGCAGGTAATTTGCATTAATTCATCACTCTTGGAAATCAGAAAATTTCTTCTGAACTTACAAAATCATATATCAGATGTGACAGGGACATAAAAAAAATTAGACCCCTAATTTTTGTGAATCTTCGATAACCATCCTGCTTCATACTCCATGTACATTTTTGACACTTAACAATTGGACATCTCAGATTCTGAAATGTTCAAGGGGAAGGGGATCAGTCAACAGACATGCCCAAGTTGCACAATTTTCACATTAATATTTCATCACTTCCTGCCAATTTTGCCACCCCTATTTTGTGTACAGTACTGGCTTGGCTTTGCACACTATAAATATTTATGTATTTATTAATGTTGTGTCTGTTATTTTCATAAACCATGTACATAGTCATCAAATATTTATTTCCTGTGTAATAGCAAGGAGCACAGTTACGAGTTTCGGACTGTTGAAGGATTGATGGAGTGATTGAACAAATAAACAGCGAAAGGGGCAACGTTGGACAATTGTCCCGATGACATTTTCAAATGAGTGGCTGCTGCCTGATATATACTTCATTATATTTGCATAATGAGTGGCGTATAGATCTGGAGAAATGTGCAGTCCTCAAACCAGTCTTTTTTGAATGCGCAAATATTGATGTAATGGCTGAAGAAGCCAAAATTAATATAAAAACCACAAATATTAAAAAGACGCAGAGTGCAAGCCTGTCATGTAGACAGTCGCCCATAACCAGAGGGAAAGTAGGAGTCAGTAATTTGATTGTTAATACCTCAAGAGGGCGGCAGATACATTTCATGTACATGTATTCCGTCCAACAATGTGTTTGATTGGGAAGTTGTAAAATTGCCTGGGGTGATTCAAACAAGTCCAGAGGTGAACTGATGTCCAGAGTCCACTGCGTTGCCTAACAGGGTTTCAGCTAGGATTTCACTTTCTGCCTGCCCTTTGCAAGGCAGTGTTCAAATCTTCCAGACTGCTTTCAAGCAACATATTTGGAAACTGATATCCTTTGGTGGTATCTGAATCCATGTTTTCTATGATGGAAGTATACAGATTTATTCACTAGTGTTAAAGGTTTGTGAGGTAATGGGGGGGTTAAATTTTTTACAAGCAAAAGTTGCCTGTCCTGAACAGGTGGCTAATTGAGATACTGTTAAACCATGGAGAAAGGACACGGGGGTATGAACTGCCCGGGCTTTAACATCTGGCAAATTACTGCTTCCTGATATGTCCATAGCCAGAGCGCAGCGAGCGCTTGCAATGCACCATCTGTTTCACATTTATAAGACCCCTTTGTACCCTATAATCACCATTGCAATGTTTTGCCGCTAATCTGCATCCTTAAAACTTCGTGTACTAAAGTATGGAAAATTGAATTTTCACGCATTTGTTGGTGCTCAGTATGATCTCACAACATCAAATTTCATGCTTACGCAGTTGCTTGTGTTAGGCAGTGTGCCGTAAATGTTCATGTGCAGCTATTGCCCTTAATGATCAGCTTCTTATGGAGTTGTTTTTGAAATAAATATCCGAGTTGTTCATAAAATTTTGTTTCAATTGAATTATTTTTATTATGGCTTTTATATGGAAGTTTATTTTACAAGATCTCATGATTGCTCCTTGTAATGAAATAGCACATTTTTTTAATGTAGCCAAATTCAAACCAAATCTTTGAAAGCTGAGGTTTTGAAGGGAGAATGGAATCACAAACTTTGCACGGACTATGGAAAAAGGTCATTCACAATGGCAGAAATAGGTCTAACATCAGGGATTTTTCTCTATTTCCTTGTCACAGTGATAAGTTGTAGTTAGTTGCGAGCAAAACACAGCAAGTATCGCTAGGATTTTACTGGTCCCACTTGTCTAGCTAGGCTGCAAGTTATCGGGCATTTTTGGAATGTTTTCTATCATTATTCAGACGCGGCGACGGCGATCATTAGCCCCGAGTGCCAGAGTTGTTACTCCTCTGTCCATCCTCCATGGTTAAACAGTTGATGTGAATCGCTATCTGTAAAATTTTTCCACATACATACAGAAATGTAAACTGGTCAAAATACTGAAGGCAGTTTTTTCTTTCCTCTGTTATTATTACAGATTAAGTGGATGATCAGCTTACATATTGGCGGGGGTCTTCACAAATGCATTTGTCAATTGATATTTCCGTACCTGGTTCTACCTAACTCTACAAAGAATCGTTGAAGCACCACACTATGTTTTTAGCTGAGACCATGGCCCAATTTAACGGCGCTGCAAGCAAGAAGAATCGGTGCTTACAGAGGCAGAAAATTCTGTGCTTACGGCAAACATATTTCACGGGTTAGCGAGGAATTTTGGCTTGTGCGCATGTGTACATCCCGTAACTAAGGATTCTGTGCTTAAAGGGTTAGTGCAGAATTTTTCTGCTAGGGCGGTTAGTGCAGAATGGAGATCATAAGCACAGAATTCTGCAGTAAGCAGTGCCTCGAAATTAGGCCCATCACAAGACCAGACAGTCCTGTCGCAAGTAACAGGGTGAATGGAAAAGAAATGCTTGTAGTGTGTAGATCATTTGAATTGCTTCTGACTTGCATTGGCCTGGTGATGGTCTAACGGGGTCTTAACTACAACAGAACTGCTACATATTCATGACAATCTTTAATCCTGGCAAATGTTTAAAGGCCTACACCGTGTTTTATCATCCATGATACCAAGAATGTTGATGCCAAAATATAGTTCAGTAAGTCAAGCTGGACTACGTGGCAAAGTCTTGGCAATAGAGGGCGCTGTTCATTTTAACAGGGTAAAGACTCCAAGTTATGACAATGAAGAGTTAGATCAAATTTTCATGTGTATCAAGTGAAGAAGTTATAAAACACATTTTTAAACAATACATTAAATGGTCCAGGCAATACAATTACTTTACTACAACCTTGAAGATGCACCTTTGTGATTCAACAAACCTTATTTTCAATTTCTGTCTTGCTACTTCAAAGGGTATTTTTTACGGCTTTTTTGGTTTGTATGCTGATCCAAATTTCCTAGTCGCAAGCAAAACTGTAATGTCATCCCAGGCACCAAGCGTCAATGTTGCAATGATTTCTGCACAAAAAGCGGCAGAATTTTTACAAATATTTTGCCTTTCTAAATTTCCATTTCTTCGATGATTTATTGTTAACTTTTTATCAGAAATGTTTTTGAAAAAGCAAATTTTGGGTTCAAAATTTGAATCTAAAAACAAGTACACTGAACAGTGTCTTCCCTCGTTTAAAGTACATGTAGCTTTTATACATAGAAGATGATAGTGATGCCTAGAAAATGTTTCTGGAAAAAATTCATTGCAGAGGGGCTTTTAACCTTCCTTAATTGGTACTCTAAGACTACAATTTTCAAAATAACACTGGCATCATGTACTCTGACATGCTAATAAATTATTCCCATGTGCATAAAATTTGAGGCAAAAATTTCAGAGCCTTCTTACATCCCTGCTCATCTGTTTCACATACACTTTTAGACACAGTAACACAGAAAAAATCCTTGTATTCGTCCATTCATGTCATACCACTTCCTGCCGGGGGCATTCATGAATGTTAATTCTGCTGGGCCGGATTATTTTTCATTTTTTTCTGTTTTTAAAATTATTTAAAAATTCATCTCATGTGCACCCACACAAAGAACTGTCTGGTCTACTCTAATCTGACAGACGACATCTATTGACACCGAGTATTTCAGCCAGACCTGTCGCCTTGTAAAAAGAGCCCAGAAAGTGCGGTGTTGGCGTCTTTTCAATAGGGGCCAGATTAGCATGCAGCGGTACTGTGTTGTCAAGAGTGACAAATCCCTATATTGTGGGTAAGGCAGTATGCTAGTGGGGAAGGAGGTATGGCAAACAATACTTGGCACATTCACCAGTCACTAATTGTGATCGTAACTATGTGATGAAGATGACTGTACAATATAAACTGCAAAGGACAGACAAAAGTAAACTGAGGGTAAATGAATTGGGCTAAGACTAGTCTAGGTTATTCACCCTCCAATATCCTCTTCGGTGCCTCCAACAACACTAGTCTTCCACTCAAGTCACTTTTTGTGTACCACTCACAGTACTAGCCCTGTCTCTGCTTGTGGCGCGGATGGGTCTTGCATATGACAAACAGGCGGCCTTTCCTTCGGACAAAGTAGCAATCTTTGCACCGCCGCTTCAAAGAAGATTTCGTCTTGAAAGAGTTTGTCAGCTGTGTCAGAGGAGACGGCGCCCTAAGGAGCAGGCTTCTGAGAAAGGGACTCTGTGACCCAGCTGAACATTTGGAGATTCCACATGCTCCTAACAGGTTCTGTTGTAGCAAACTGAAGCCAGGATTTGTCAGCAGTGCGTGAGTGGGACGTGTTCTGGAAAACATCCCGTTCAGTGCTGGGGCAAGTAACCTCAGAAGCGACATGGTGAATCTTCTCTGAAATCTGAGGAGGGAAGAGTCAATAAATGAAATGTGATCAGTGGTTTCAAAAGACTCAAAACAGAGTGCACCCCTAGTTACCTACTCAGACTTCAAAATTGCTTGGACTGGGCCTCAAAGCAATGCCCAAAAATGTACATGTACACCACTGAAATGTTGGGTGCAATCTACACAATTAGCATGATTGATCAATCATGCTATGCTACAGTGATAGCGCCTGGTCGTGATCACTGCTGCACAAAATCTCAGAGTTTACTTCCCCTTTTAACAAAAAATAAATTGTCTACAGCCATGAGTTAGGAAGAAAAGGCGATGGGCTGATATGAGGGATTGACAGATCAAATCGTGATCATACAAGAATGAAGATCAGAGTTTTCATTCACCAACCATGCCAACTGCCAAGTAGCCCAAAGTAGCAGGGCTGCTACCTAGATGGAAATATCCAGGCCATAAGCTCATGACACATTTGGGGAGCTTCACATTATACCTCTCTCTCTCATGACATCACTTCTTACTGTTAAACTGCCATGTGCATCAGTATGTTGGATGTCAAAGTTTCATGACGTACATCAGCTGTGCCATATTTGAAAGATACTTGGATCAACAAGACTGACGTGAAGTTTATTCCTTGTTCGACGTTTGACATTCAATGTTGAAAACATAAATGTTTGATATTCAACGTAAACAGTTTGACATTCAGGATGCACGCCCCTTGAAACGATGGAGTGCAAAAAGAGACAAAAAAACTAGCTGCGCCCACCATGCACATCCATTCGAATGTACCTTATTTAAATTGTACATGCCATTTCACCATGATGTATACACAAACAACTCTCTCCCACAGGGCAAGGGGTTTTCTGGCATCAAACAAGCCCTCAAATGTAAGTGACCTTTTTTACAGCAACATAATTACTTGAGGGAAAAACAGTCAGTTATACTTGCTGTTTTCTTCGAAACTATTTCAGTCAATCAAGCCCATGCCCCGGGTCTAAACTTTCAAAGTATTTCAGTAGTTTAGCGACCCTGCTGCATCCATTTCAACCAGGGCAACACAGTTTTCTGTGGTCAAAACTCAAGTTTTGTCAGTGTATTTCACTTGCAAACCAAGAAAAAGAATGCATCACATCAAACAAACAAAATACCCAAACCCCATGCCCTACCTCAAGATTCCATTGAAGCTAATCTCATTGTTCTCCTCAATCAACGATGACGTTTTAGGGGCAAACAAGCCCTCAAATGTAGGTGGCACAGTCTGTTTTTTGCCCCTTTTCCACCTCATCATTTCTAGGAATGTGCATCCTGAGTGCTCGCCAAATTTAACTGTTACTTTAATGTTGAACATCTAACGGTTACTTGTTCAACACTGAATGTCGAATGTCAAACAAGGAATAAGCAACCAACTTCAGCCTTGTATCAACAAGTGTACTTGTATACCACACTTTCATAGAGCACTGGCTCACTTCGCGCACATGCAACTGATGGATTTGAACATGCAGTTGCCTTTTTCCTACGAAAACGGTGTGCGTTAAGACTGCATAGGAGGCCCGACGATATGTTTTAAATGTGTTTTACTTAGGCCCCTACAACCATCTGCTGATCGGTACCTAAACACCCTCGAAAATGTCCGACTGCTATTAACCACAGGCCTACGTTCCGAATGTTAATGAGTTAAGAGTATTTCAGATTTTTTTGGAAACCAAAGGCATTCCTCAGTTTTTGTCATGTGACATTAGGGGCTTGTTTGTTTCACAAGGATCTGGATCTCAGTGATCCTAACGCTGGTTTACACCATACATTATGCAGGTTTTGATGTCTGTAATTTAACAAACGACGGACCACTGATCGTGATTCGTGATCTAGATTTATGTGAGACACACACGGCCAATGTGATACCAGACCCTTGAATCAAAGGAAAGTAACCTTAGTCAGGTTCACTTCTGGCCCCACAAATAGGGCTGTAGTGGCTCTCTTTTACAATCTGTCTCTTATCTGTCGCCACCACAGCCCTACTTCCAACAAACGAGCGCTACCTTCGTTTTCCAAAATGGCGGTGCCCGTGGTCAGCATGTAATACTACAGGCCGGGTTTTTCAAGGCGCCATACATCAGAAAATTTACAATTTTGGAAAGCTAAAAGCTGCTCGTATGAAAGTCCAATCTCTGAGGAATACGCCAGTGTAAGTAAAATTGTCGAGCCATTCTCATTTCAGAAGAAAGGCCTGTTAGGATTCAAAGTTTGTAACAATCCTGCAGTTTGGATGTCTGGCATTTAAGACATGCCTTGAAGTAGGGCTGTGGTAGCGACAGATAAGAGACTGATTGTAAAAGGCAGCCACTACAGCCCTATTTGTGGGGCTAGTTCACTTCATGCCAACAACATGAACAACAAATCTCCTACATGTTGTAAGCTTAAACCATGCTTAACCCTCTCCCCAGCTCATACCCCCTGAACTGTGGGGTCCAACGTCTGCCCCGTTATTACGTGGTAGCGGGGCGGACATCGGACCCTACAGTTCTGGGGGTAGGCCTACCCGGCTCCCAGAAATATGCTTACCACTGTAGTACTACTACTAGTACTAGTAGTAGGCCCTATGTAGAAAATGTAAACAAAATGAAATATTATTAGGACCTACAGTTTAAAAGGAACTGAGTACCAGGGGCCTGGCACTAGCTGGTAGGCCGAGGCCAGGTAGGTCTTTGATATGTCAATTGTTATGCATACCTCACGTCGTTTGCTCGCAGATGGCTACTGTGAGTAAATTAGCCTACTGAATGCACAGGCCTCCATGCATATTTGCACTGTTGCAGCACTGGTTCAACCACTGTGCGCTCGAGATAGCCTCGTGCACTGGTCAGAACCAAAGATTCGTATAGCGCTGCGTATCTTTGAGAGCAACCTCCTTGCTGGGTGACCTGACTTAAATGTAGTCCAATGTGCCAAATTATAACTTGATATTTAACTAATCATAAAATTTTGAAATAACAATAACTGTGTCAAATCTTTTTATATTGTATAAGTTTAGGCCTATACACCAGTGTAGGGAACTTTGAAAGAGAAATTCTCATTGCAGTGGTGGAAATAAAAATTTGGCATTGAACGAGACCAAACTATTTTCAAGATGGCAGCTCTCAGATGTGTTTTCAGACTTTCTTCTTTACGACCGCAATTTTGTCGTTCCCCGGCAATTTTGCGTCAGTTTTCACCAAGTTCAAGATACTGCACTGTAACGGAAACAGTAACACACACTGGACAGGTATGCTCACTTGATTTCATTGTTGTATTAGTATTACAAATTGGACTTAAGTTAGGGCCCAGATCTAGGCCCAGATTGTGCCGGTTCTGGCCGCGAGATGGCGCTCTTCTTTGTCGTTTGAATGGATGGTTTGCATGCTTTACTAGTTTCAAAACAAACTCTGCAAGACCTATTTTGTCCACAAAGACTCCCACGTCCTAGGCCTGGTAATGCCTGGGAGGCTAATAAATTTTTTGGATTTTTTTTTTCTCTTTTATTTTTGAAGTGATCTTGGAGAGGATGTGATGAGGTGATAAGTAATTCTGTGATTTAACTTAACCTGGATTCCATCGGACTGTACAGAGCAACGAAAAATAGATTTGAAGCGGGAGTGTTGTGAGACCACTATTGTACACGTGTAATGCAGAGCAAACTGTGATTATTTTGTACACAAAAATATGTGTGGACATGGTGGAGTTTAAGTTAAAAGCTCAAACTTACTGTTTTTGTAAAATGTTTGTTCTTATTCTTACCTTATTTCAATTAATTAAATGCTGGCTTCACTTAAATATTTTAGAAATTTTTAAAGTGGAAATTAAAGGAGCTACAGTGTGCAGAAAAAGACGAATTTTAATCATAATTCCTATTAAGAAAATGAGTTTCCAAGAATGTATTTTTTTTTGCATTGGGGAGATGTTGATTTATATAACGGGTTTTGCCCTTACCCAACGTATAATATTGAAAAGCACTGTATGCTCAGTGCTTGTCCGAGAGCTTGCGAAGCTTGTGAATTTTTCGCAAGCTCTCAGACAAGCACTGAGCATACAGTGTTTATCAATATTATACTTTGGGTAAGGGCAAAACCCGTTATATGAAATAAGTTTCCAAATAAAAAGCACCCTCACTCATTTGCCAATGCCAATTTTTCCACTTTTTTGTTTTCCGACCCTCCCTCCTCCCCCATATTAAGTGACAGAAAAGGAAAGAGTTCCATATTCGGAGTTCCATATTCGGATGACAACCTGTGCAAAAACCCTATGGGACTGGTCTGAAAAATTCTAAATGTTTTCTCAGTAAGGACTTGGTATTTTCCCTCCTAAATTGAACCTTTCTGGACATGTTTTTGCTTTCTGACGGCTTAGTAATAGGTCACTGTAGAATAATTACTGGCATCCGTAGGTGGAACTCTTCCCACTTCCATGCACATTGTATCTGAGCATGTCACTAAGGCTGCACAAAATTTGATGTAGCACGCTTGTGATTTGGGCACGCAATGTAAATCACCTGTATTGTTATGCATCTATTAATGAGACAAATGTACATTTTGAATGAATTATGGAAAGATTTTACTTTAATTCCCCAAAATTGTTGCCTTTTTTCTGCACCAGTTTGAAGAATAATTCAAAAAGAATGAGTCTTAAGAGAACATTATGCTCCTCTTCAATGGGTGAAAACCTTTTTCATTTAATTGTGTTGAAAAGTGTACTATCAAACTATTTAAAGCAAGGGTGCCATATGGTATGAAATCAATGAGGGAAGAAACTGCTTACAGATTTTCGGTTTAAATTGTAATTCCAAAGTTTGTCCATTGAGAATACCAATTAGTTTTCACTGTTCCATTGTCACATACTGACACAGTAGCGAAGAACCGAAGAATAGAAAATTTGCGACAGCAGCCAGCCAGTGTGACTGGCTCGGTGCAGAATAATGTTTGATATTGGTCTCAAGATTAAGTGTGTATAGGTTCCTGTGTACTCACTCGTCTTTGTCATTCCACCTTTAGGCCTTTGATGAGGGTGATTACAGGAGACTAAGGTACATCCAGAGAGAGAAGGAGGTGAGTATGGTGAGCGGATGGGTAGAGAGGTCTGGCTCCACTCTCTGCAATTTCTTAGTTTCATAACTTTTAAGGCCAAAAAACTAGTTCTGCTTCTGGTTACGCGACCGATCCTAAATTTTTGGCGCAACTGAAAATTTATATCGGTAAGTTAGAAAAACACATTTAAAAATAAAAAAAAAAAGAAAAAACAAATCCTGTCTTTCATGTCTTCACAAAACACCTCACAAGAACTCTTTCATACCTAAAAGAATGTATTTTTTGTTTGCCTGCCTACATTCACCACATTTGAAAAGAAAGTCCCGTTATTTTTGCAAGTTCTTGTGGCATTTTGCTATCGCGGTGGTGAAAATACGCACAGCACGCAATTTTGCTTGATGCACAGAAGCAAGGCTTCACTGGTTCCTGCTCGCCGCACCACTGCCAAAGAAGGCATGATGGTAACTCAGCAACCAGTCCATGCATTGTGGTCAAAATAGTATTGTACAAGTACCGTACATACACGCAACTCTACAGCTGCACATCGGAAAAAAAATGATGTCGCAGGAAGATCTACAAGTTAACTCCCATAACTTGATCTGTTGTCTTTATATGTATTTTTTGTGTTCACAAATTTAATTTGAGGTTATATTGCTCGTACTTAACGATCGGACTTGACGCGATGAACTGTAAAGGTTTCATTGGTGTCTGTGGAAGATAACACTAAACTGGCATAGTTAGAAAATAATACCAGCCGACATACCAGAGCAGGTGCCTGCAGCCCGTGTATGAGCTGTATGCACGACCGACCGTGCAGTGAACAGAATGTTTCGCCGTTACGTGTGCATTTGGCACACGAGCCCGGCCGCACGGACTGTGGAATTATATCGTGAACTCAAAAGTGCTGCGCCAGTGATTTGAAACACGACTCATAAAATGTGATGAAAGTTTTGAAATGTGGCAAAGTTCCTCAAATGACCGCTATCCAGCCGGGCCATCGTTTGGGGAGAATGCATTGGCCCGATGAATTTTTTGATGGCCCCTGGCCAGCAGACCACCGTTAATTTCAACCCCTGCTTTGGTATAAGCTCTGTGATCCATACATGGACAGAAAAGGGGGCTTGTATGCATTATTATCATTGATCTCCCTCTGAGTGGCATGCTGGCTAGGTGTACTTGTTCATGTAGGTGTAGCAGAAAGTGCGTGCACATTACTTACCTGCGGTGGGCATTCTTTCGTGTACGTGTAGTTAAAGAAAACTTAGAGAAAAATCCCCATTTTTCTGGCACTGTGAGCACTCTTTCAAGCCAGATTTTTGCTGATGTTTCTTTGACTAGTCCTCTTCATTTTGCTTGTGATAACCCTTTCCTGTGATTGGCTCGAATTTCCTTTTTTTTTTTTTTTTTTAGAGAGGGGGATTACTTGTAGCACCAGGGCAGTTGATTGTTGTTTAAGTACTGCGGCCAAGGACAAACATGTGTTTTTAGTATTTACCGCAAGTTGTTGGGAAAGCTCTGAAAAATGTCGTTTTAGATGGGCCATGTTTGTTTTTTTGGTTGTGTAGACTACACTGAGCAGTCCCTTTATTTTTATTGAAGGTGAATGAGAAATTTGCAATCGATCTTGTCAATGAAGAGCCACCAAAAGAAATAGCAGCCAGCAGTGTGTGGTGTGACGGAGGCGATCCCTCGACAGGCCATCCCAGAGTCTACATCAACCTCGTAAGTGCCACGTGTTTAGAGCATTGTAGGAACCTGGAAATATTACACCCCCAAACCAAAAATCAACCTCAGTGCTCTTTTTTGTTTTGAGAAGCACCCAGACATCCTTAAAGTACACCTAAAATATTGAGGATGTTTACCGACATTCTGTCAATTCAATATTTTACTTTGCTGTTAGAATTTCCTTACTCCTGCATTTGAATCAATATCTTATCTCCACAATTTTTTAAAGTGTGTAAACTTGTACCTCTTTGGTAGAAAACTAAATAGAAAAGACATTTTCTGATTAAGTTAATCCAGTTTAAAAATTGCTTTAAGATGGTTTCTTGCCTTTACCAAGAAATGTCTTTGGATTTTTTTTACAGTTTGTCTTTTTTCCCTTCAGTTCTGTAGCCTCTTGGCTATATTACATGTACATCTGATGCCCTGTCATCTTAAAAAGGAAGATTTTATTTTTATTTGATGCTTCCCAATTTGTTTTTTGGTGTTTTTTGTTTTGTCTGTCTTGCCAGGACAAGCCAGGACCCCATGCTTGTGGCTACTGTGGTTTGCGATACATCCAGAAGGCTCATTGACACAACCAGAAGAAGTTTATTTAGCAGAAAGAAATTAGAGGAATTACAGTGTATAAGGTTCAGATTTTCCATCATCAATTAATGATGGACTGTTTTTTACACTCACATGCCAGCGTTCAGTGAAAAATGGTTATTTTGAAGCAATTCGTTCTGGAGAAACATGGCCACGGGTTTGTTGCTTGCTTCTACACGTGAGCCTGGATGGCTGAATGTACAATGCATAAATGTACAGTCCGTCCTTCCATTTCTCAGTCTTCTTCAACAAAGACAAAGCTTGTTGTATCAGCGTTTCGACAGGCATGAATTTATGAAAAGAAGCTTACAAGCAGATTCCCACAGTGATAGAATGTTTCCTTAGGAGTTTAAAACTATTAAAACAATTGAGTCTGAATGCTTTGACGAGACTGTTCATTACTCACAAAAGCTAACACAATGCGTATGTGTAATTATGAGTGGACGAAAACTTACTCTTTGTAAAACACGTTTTAGGGCCATTTAAAAAAAAACTAGATCGAGCTGATATACGAAAGAAATTTTGTTCCTTTCTTGGAGGACTCACGTGTGCCGGTGGTACACAGGTGAGTGTGTTATTGGGTTCTAAACAAACCAATACTTGTAGGAAAATGTTGCTTGTGTGTCTTCCCAGAGATCCACACATTTGTCACTGATTAAGAGCGTGAGAAATGAAAGTCTGTGACAACCAATTAGAGTTGCTGTTTTATGTACATATGAAATAAAGTCTTTAGGCCCTATCTTCATTTCATGGCTCCATGAACTGATTTTATGTCTGCATCGGTTCTCGTGATATACGTGCTTGTAATTCGGCCTGCGTGATTAAACATTTGGACAATACAGAGATCCTTACATCGAGGAAAAATAGGCTTCAGCCATTCGTTCAGGTATGACCGATGAGGGTTTCGGCTACCGTAGTGTATGTCTATCACTTGCTTCTCCTTTGGGACCTAAATGGTACGCTGTATATACTAGTACACTACATGTAGTTGGCAAAGCATCCATCAGGAAACGTCACACCAACTTTGCTTGGGTATAGATATCCTTTGAATGGCTTGTTTCAATCCTCGGTTGTCCTTGGGGGGGAAAAAACGTAGTTGTTTTGTATTTGTGTTTTTTCTTGGAGTGCTCGGATATTTGTAGTGAAAACAGGTCTCTGCAGGTACATCTTTTGTGTTATTCAGTATCTTACTGAGCAAACTTTATCTGCATATTTTTCGTTTTTCAAGGGTAAATAAGCCATCTATGGTCTTGATTACTTTCTGAAAACATTTTGTTCATTGTGTCCACCTTGGATGTACTGTCACCAATCAAGCCTGCAATGCCATAGTTTTCATTTCGAAGGCTTTTGATGTATGCCCAGAAGGCATGAGGATTCAATTTCAAATTTTAAATCAGGTGCTTTCTGACGTAGGTGTGGCTTCACGAAGGTTAATGTTCATGCTTTTCCAAGCTTGTATGAAGCTATCCCAGACTTATCCAGATTTCTGTGTTTCTTGTATAACCGGCGATTTTTCTGTCTTTCATTTTTAGTTCCTGCTGTTTGTGGTCAATGAGTGTCCATTTTTCTTGTCACTTTTTACCAGCTGTGAAGTTGTGTACATCATGCACAAGTCCTTCCTTGTTCTATGTCTGAGAAAGTGTGAAGTTGTGTACATCATGCACAAGTCCTTCCTTGTTCTATGTCTGAGAAAGACCTTTTTTCTTGGAATTTTTTTTTCTGGTAGGTTTCAGTTTGATATCGATATGGACAGTATGATAAGAGATTCCGCCGGCAACTTCAAATTTAGTATGTTTGAGCGTTGGTGAACCCTTTATCATTCAAGGATATGTTTCTTTCCTCGCGATCTGATATAGGTTCTTTAATTAACACACGGTGTCAGACCCAGTTCTGTATGTCAAGTAATTCGTCCAGGGATTAATTAGCAGTGATTTGTCATTGGCAATGATTTCGAGACGTGTTTTTCATGTTAGCTAGGGATTGACTCGAATTACTGCGGCTAAATCGAGATCCTTGGATCCTGAAAACAACATGTATATAAAGTCGTTACGCCACACTTTCCCCAGTCGTCTTGACTGGGGGGCCTGCTTTTCTAAGATTTTAATTGAGACCTTTCAACCAGGCCTTGTCCATTGAAGGGTAAGAGAGCTGGGTTTTTTTTTAGCAGGGTCCAGCAAAAGCCCCATCCGGATTGCTTGTACCATGTGATTCTACCTCCATGTTTGTACTAAGTGCGGGCACTGCCATTAAAGTGATTGATTGTATTGACAGGGGTCTTGTAAAAAAAAAAGGAAACAACCAGGGAACTAAAGGAAAATGAAGTGATTGTTTTCCTCAAGCACTTTAAAAAGGACTTTGAAGGGATCCCTTCAAGAAATAGTTTTCTTTTCCATCCGACGAAGTTTCCTTTGTTCATTCGTGACCGTTACCAGTCCGAAAACCGTACACTCGCTTTTTGTTTCGCACTGGTAAACAACTCCGAGATTTCTGCAGAGCCCTTTGGCAGACGCGTTGCCGGGACAACAGACAGTAAAATACGGTCCCATCAGCGCGCTGCACGCAGTGTGGAGGGCTAAAACGAGGACCTTTCCCCTACCCCTTTGACCTGAAGTATAAAGCAAAGAATGTTGCACTCCGGCTTCCCGCACTTCAACGTACAGGAATACATGTACTGTGTGGATAGCTGCACCCACAGTTGAAGATAAACGCATTACCCCTAATGCGGTCGGCTTTGCGCATGTTGATAACCTCACAAAAGCAACACAAAGGAACCTCCGATCAACAGAAAGCCCTCGCGAACAAAACGGGCACTTCGAGCCCGGCAAACTCTGCTGGTTATTGTTAATTTGATCAATAGGTGTTTTTTTGTCAGGTCGTCCGGTCGCCTTGGTCTCCACGCGTTGCCGACCGGGGGGTCAACCACTTGTATGTTTTGTTGCCAACTAACGTGGTTCGGGTAACGAGAATTGGAGCCTGAAAAACGCTGGTGTGATTTTGTAATAGTGGACAGAGTCTGACACAACTTGGTCTAGCGCTGGCATTTGTTAGTGTGTCTACCAATATCTGCTTCTGTCATATTCAGCAACTAATCTTGGTAAGTATTTGGGTGACTGGGTCTGGGCTATTTTGCCTCTTGTTTTTTCCTAAATGAAAAATTTCATATTGCCAGGGGTATTAGTATTCGTGCAACTGACTGGTAGCTGTTGATAGGGCCTATTTTCACCTTTATCAAATCCAAATTCCCAATATTCAATATTACAACCAATCTTTGTACATGGCAACTTGATAAACGATTTTCTGGAATCAAAGTTGTTTGATGACCCTTACCCACTATGTACGTTTTATCACTGGCCATAGTTATTCTTGGTCCCCGCTCACTCTTTAAATTTACCAATTTGCAAACTTGCTATTTATTAGGCTTGCTTCATGAATACCAATGATCACGCATGCTTAGTTTTTATGTGCAGTTATATTATGAAGGTGGTTAACTTTCTGCTCCATCTCTTTTAGATCTTCCGTTTTTATCAAAAATGAAGATGATGAATTTTGGCAGTGGCCATGTCTGCCATATCCACTTCTTAGTTGCCATCATCAACCATGCATCTTTCTTTCCATTATGCATCTGTTTGGCTTTAGTTGGGAACGTGGGTTTCGACGCAAACTATATGCTATCAATGGGCTTTGCAGCATGACAGAGTACAGCGTAAGTAAAGGCACAGTTGAGGTGCTGGCGTGTGGGTCGACACAGCACGAGCTAGGGAGAAAGCTTGGCAGCACTAAAATAACCGTTCTATCAGAGACGATTTTGCCCAAACACAATCTGAAAGCAAATTACAAATTACATTTTCCAAAGTTGGACTTTGGATCATTGATTGTTCGTGGCGAGCAAAGTAAGCAGAACTTAACTAAAACAACAACCTCTCCATAGTTTGAAATCATTTCAGTGTTTTAGGAAAAACAATAGTAATTTATTTAAAACCGTACTCAAGTTTCACTACTGCACTTGCAAAAACATTATCCTTCAGATTGTTTGCGGTGTTTAACCTGGCAAAATCGTCAATTTTGATGTCATTTGCATGCATGGGAGCGACAAACCTGTGTGTTCTTGCTGAACGGCGCGAAGAATTGCACATATGTATACATGTACATGCTCTTTTTAATTATTCACTGGAATGCTTTTCGTTTAATCCACGGTGGAGTAACCATGGGCATCTCACAATGCATTAAATCACTATTAATCCATTTTTCTAAACAAAGATTTACCGGAAGTATGTAATAGATTTCGCCGCCGGCCTATTAGCTTGGTGCTTCAAATTGCTATGGCTATTTATTCCACGAATCTCAGTTGGATAAGCAGATAACATCCCCCAGCCAACAATGTTTTCTTTCCTCGTACATTGCTTTCATATACGATGTTGTGGAAGGCAAATCTTTGTTCATTTGAATCGGTTCATCATTTTCAGTTTTTAAACCGTGAGATTTGCACTTGCACCGCGGCATTTGCACTCGCGCTAGTTTGACGAGTCTCATGGCGCGCTTCGACGTTTTCCTGACTTTTTAAGTTCATGTATTGTTGTCCAACCTCTTCGTTGAAAATCTTTAAGTTCATTCAGTTAAATACTTGCACAAATACCTTCATGATACTTACCGGTGATTCTTTGTGAACAATTTCAGTGTCATAACATTTTGTCAGAAAAAACGTCGGCGTTCGTATATTGGGCACAAATTCGGGTTAGAGAGTTCTCATAAAATCCCATATTAACATTAAGAATTAAAGTTAATAAATTCTGATAAATCATTATTGCTTCCACTAAACCATCCAGCTACGATTTGTAAGAAAATTATCTTCTCAATTTTTTTGTGCATTGCAAAAGAGTTCATTGCGCACTTCGAAAAACGAATTCTGGAAATGAGACCAAAATAGAATTCCATTGGAAGTTTGTTGCAAGTACCTCAGGACTTATAAACGGGAATATTAAGAGCACGCCACCTTGGGGTACATCAACGCCACTAAATTTGCACAGCGAATATCCTTCTTTAAAATGCTTCCTCATTGACGTCTGGAACATTGGAAAGTCACAGAAGACTATTAAATATTTCACGATCCGTAAAAAGCCTCACGTACAAAGTTATGCTTATAAGGTCCAAGGGAAATTTACGTCTTTTATAGTGGCAACATTCGTCACTAAGGCTTGTAGAATTTTTGTTAATTTATTCAGGTCAAAATTCACACTACCAGACACATAAATCGGTTACGAACCCCACTTGAATCTTGAATTGCCTTCCAAAATTACTTCGTTGACCAGACTTTGACATTTCTCAACAACGCGGGTCCATGAATTAAGTGGCCGAAAAAGGGGTTATTGCTAACATCATCTTTGCCCTCGCGAAATTAACTTACATGTATATAAAGAATGTAATTGACCACATTGATAAGATTTGGCGTTAGATAGCTAACTCTTTCATTGTTACTTAATTCTCGATACACGTATCGTCTTTTGCTTCATAAGTACATGTATGTGTGAGGTGCTCTCTGTAAAAAACAACGTGACTAAGCTCGTGTATTCAACACAGCGGGGATCAACTCAGGCAACATTAATTTCACGCCCTACCCAAACGCTCCAGGACGTTTGGACAAGCGAAAAAGAAAACCCACATAATACGTTTTAGCCTCCAAACATTTGGTTAAATGTTATTTTGTATATTTGAATGAAAAGTGTGTTTTTATTGTACTGTGACGCCGCGCCCCTCCGACGAGGGCGCCTTCCTCCTCGAGGCGCGGCGCGTCGGACGGCACGCCGGAGAGTCCCCGAGCGGCTGGGGACGAGTCCTTTGGGACCGAAATATGCCGTCCCCCAAGAAAGTTGGTCTTCGTCGAGATGATGGCTAATCTGATTGGTCGAAACTTCGTGACGTTACCCGGACAGACCTGACTTGAAATAAACTTCGCCTGGACACCTGACTTATATACAACAATTAATAAGCGGCTGGTTTATTCATCAACACACTCAACCAATATACCAGCAGAGGGCGCTATTGACGGGGAGACTTTGTGATATTATACGTGACCGGACTTCGCCCAGAGCAGTGAACACCACAATTATTTGTGGGCATCCAGTGCCGAATCGGGGACTTTAGCAAGTCTACGGGGCTTATTGTCAGGAGGCCTGAGGCTGCACTATACGCAACTCACGTCACGAGATATCAATCCGCCCTTGCATCGACCGCAAGCTCCTATCAGGAACTATACCGCGCACCACCAATTAGCCCCTCAACCTACCAAGCCCCTCTATGACGACGACGACAAACGCACCACTCGGATTTAGGCACTGTCACACCAGGCTAGCTGACTTAAAACCCTTGCACAGGATTCTCGACCCTTGCCTCTGAATCAGCCCTTGATCATGACGACTAAGCCCTGCCTAGCGCGCGTACCTAGACTGCCTGAGCTGCTTAGCCTAGGCCTAGCCTAGCCTAGCCTGCGCGCACATTTTATAGCCTTCGCGCTGCTGTGACCACGCCCGCGTACGCGCTCACGTGACCAAGCAGTGACTTCCACTGCCCTATCGCACTACGCACAAGGCGGAGCCTAAGCGCCGCGCTCGCTTAACACACAGCTATGCGCGCCCTAACATATGCCTCTGTTACTGGGCACCGCGCCTAGTGACTAGCGCCCTCTGTCACGTTACAGTATGAAAGCCTTTTTGGTTAATGCCAAAAGGAGAGCTCCCGAAAGTTGACAAGTCACTCTCTATTACAGCAGATCAGCATTTACAGCGGAACAATCTTGGAACACCCTCTTTTTATACTAAAACAGGCTACAACGCAACTTCTTGCCCGTTTGCTGTTGTCTGATGTGTGTTTTCGAGGAAGCCCTGGTGAGAATCACGAGTTCGGTTCCCGAAGCTCGAGCCAATTGTTACGTTCTTCTGGGCACACGCAGTTCAGACATTTTAGGAGTCTTCCATCCTCCAACACAAGCACCCTGAGTTAAATAAAGAATTACCTATCCCCAGGTTGGACGCCAGTCTTCATTACCTTGCGTAATACGGTCGGCAGCTGTCTACCTGGGCTTTGGAAATTCCTCATAAGGGTCATTCTATAAATTGGGGTCCAATTTTTCCAGTCCCTGTTACGTCTGGCGTAAGATTGTTCAATGTTTAAGTCATTCTGTAATTTCCAAGATTGAATAAGTACTGCAAATTACCTGCCAAACAAAACAAAAATAGTTTGAATTTTATTTAAGTGATACATGTATATTCCATGTCAAAGTACACACGTCAGGTGTAACAGGGAGTCAGGGACGGGAAATACCCAAAATTTATTGAATGACCCGTCTGTGTTGTTGATTATCAGAAGCATGCCAAGCACGTTGCGTAAAAACTCAGGCCCGTTTCAGACGTTGTGCTTCTGAGGTGTCAAACTTAAATAAATTGATTTTTTTTAATTTACCACGGCAGAAGCACGACGTTTGAAACCATTTGGCTCGGCAACTTGATTTTGGCTCGGCAAATCCACTTAGCACGACAGGGTCTGCCGTGCTTCTGCCGTTTAAAACGGCACAAGCATGTACGGTACGGTTTCAAACGTCGTGCTTCTGCCTTGTCGAAGTTGGCGCGCCTAATTCGGAATGCGCATGCTCCAACGAGCGTACGAGGATGGCCAAGGCCGGTTAAGGAAATGTGAGCAAACCATCCCCATCAACAAACATGGCGACTTACATGGAGGACACGCTCGATATACAGGTGGAGGACAACGAAACAAGTACATTAAGTTCGACGGACAATGACGACATCGAAGACGACGACAATGTCAGTGACGTGGGCATAAATGGCAGCGAGGAGGATGAAGTTAGCGACACAGAGCCAGTGAAGAAGAAGGCTTTTCTTGAACCTCCTGTTGGAGTACGACTCCTGGATGAAATCAAACCAGATGGTTATCATAGTCTATTGAGGCGTCGGCAGGATCGAGGCACTGTCACATTCTCTCGCGATGACGTCAGCAAAAGAGCTATAACACGCAATATAAGGGCTCTTCTGCGGGAAACCTGTACATGATTGAGAAGTGTCTGCTGCAGCAAAATTCTTTTTGTTCTAGCAGCTCGAATCTTATGTAAGAGAACAAAGTCACACTTTTTGCTGTGTTGGTCCGCATGATATTGGATGTATTTAAGCTTGACTAGATAGTTTAAATTAAGTTTGACGTTTGAAACCACCGCCGTGCTTATGCTGCGCTATTGCCGCACCAAGTTCAATTTAGTTCGACACGGCAGAAGCATGACGTCTGAAACGGGCCTAAGTGAGCCATGTTTTACTATGTGTAATGTTGAGCATGAAAGTGATTGTGAATGCATGTATTTTATTTCATGATGAATCACCTGGGTCACGGTGCATGTTCCACTCACATATCACATCATCAGTTATGTGCATAACACCATTCACTTAAATATATTATTTCAATCTCTTTAAATATTGTTGGTACAAACTTAATTACATTTTACTCTATTCTGTAACAGTCATTGAATTGTCAACCGACAATTTCTTTGTCAAAAATTAACAGTTTTCAAATAAAAGCAATAGCATGTTCTAACCATATGTTGAAACTGGAATCTGTTTAAAGCATGCTTTGAGATAGTGATAAAGAATGAATAGTGTTTCAATAAATAACTGTAATAAATATACATTAAAACTTAATCATGTTATATAAAAAAGTATGAAATCATTGGCTACATTTATTCTGAACGGTACATCTTGAACAGATTGTTGAATTTGCAATCTGGCTTTTTACGCCAGGCCCGGCCCACTGGACAAGGATATTAAAACATTACAGGTTATACAACTTACTGATTTTGCAATGCTTGTTTTTCAGCACTGGATGGAGACATTGTACGGCTGGGCACCGGCTTCTATGAAGCCCAAATCACTGGTTTGTATTTGTGTTTCCTTTGTTCCCCCTCACATAGGTCTAATTTCACAGAAAAATGTGCAAAAGGAGGTATACAAACTGTCGTCATATCATACGAACATAACTTATAAGCGTTTTCAAATGTGATGAATTTATTGCTGCAATCCATCTGTGTTTCCCAATTGAATATTCGCCGCTCACCTTTTCTTTATTTTTGAAACCTGCGTTTCTTTTCTGGAACATGCATGACCTCGTTCATTTTCCTGGGTAACATAAGGGTTCTTGTGTTTCTTGTGCACTGTTCTAAATTTATTTAGTTCCAAAAAGTCTTATATTCATTCACTTTCATTCTTTTTGATTATTAAAAATAAAGGGCCAATTCCGTTTACCCAAGGTGAATTTTAAAGACTACTTAATAACCAGGAAATGCATATCATATTCATGTTCAATATTATCAAATTAATATTTTTATGTTCACTTTCCAGGGAGCCTATGTCCACAGCAGTGGTTTCCAAGGCCTCTCAAATATTGGCATGGTGGTACGTTTACTTCACCTGGGGAGGAACTTCTGTTTTGTGAATTTTTGTTGTTCTCTTATTACCCCTCAACTTAATAGTTCGCAAGAATGATATCCTAATGGAATGCATAAGCCGTAGAGTGTGAAAAAAAGTCTAGTTCATAGTTTGTAGCCTTAGTCTGTTACCAATAACTCACATGTTCACTTGTAGCCTAAATATTGTGTAAGGACAGGGAGTAGATTCGACCTTAGCTTAAATTTGATCGGTAATTGAAATTGATAGTAGGTTGGTTTGTTGATCCCAGGTTCGAGATCTTCACACTGGGAACATTATTCAGCTGGAGTCACAGGCTACCGGTGGACTGCTGAGAGTAAACGGCATATCTGGAAGAATCGACTTTGGTGGAATCTTTGGAAAACAGTGTAAGGAGTGAAATGTGTGCAAGCGTGATGGGATTTACTTAATGTAGTAGAGGGTTAAAAATAAAATAAAAAATGAACAAATGGTCATAGCAGTATGTAATTGTGAAACCTATGCTTCTGTTAAGATCAGTCTTGCTAGGCCGATCTACTGATCGCATGAGACCTTGTTCACATGTGCTCTTTACTATGGAGCCAGCAGAGCCTATGAATCATGGTTCACTGGGCACTTAGCAAAGTATGTACATGTACGTAAATAAAGTGTGGTGTCATCAGTACAGATGTCTATCTGATAAATGTAAAACTCATCAAGACCAAACACTGTTTCTTTAGATGGTTTTTGTATCCGTGTACAATATACAGTGTAACAGTGGTCTTACAGCAGACTAAGAAAGGTTTCCATCAAAGTTGACAGTGACAAGGGGGCAGGTGTTGACCGTTGGATCAGACTTGAACCCTGATCCAAAAAATTGTCGAGTCTTTTGGAGCTATGTATACCAAGAAACAGAAACCCTAGATGAAAGAAAATTAGAACATGACCCAACAGGCCTTAGTCCATGTGCTGGAAACACAGAAACCTGTTTGTAACAGAGGCGAATTCAATTTGAATTTTTTTTTTTAATATTTCCAGCTCAATTTATTGTCCAGAGGTACTTGGGTGATGTAGTGACACTGAGGTGCGTTGCCAACCCTAAAAATTTCCTTGTTCTTCGAAATGGTACCCTATATGCAAATGTAAGTTGAAATGTGAATTTCAGTAAAGATAAAAATTATTTATACAGAAATGAAAGGATTGAATGCAAGATGGAGTGTTCACTGTTTTAGTAGCCAGGAAGAAGCTAGCTTATCAACCCTTTGATTGGAAGATACCTGGGACAAAGTAAGAGAGGAAAAATGACTTATGCTTAGACCAAAAGAAAAATATGTACAGTACAAGCGTGTAATTCACCTACCGTGAAATAAATTCAGCAGGGGAAGACAGTCAACGCAAACATGTATCAAGTAGAACCACAGCAGATGTGGTAATTATTTGGGGAGGGGGCTTGTACAAAGCCGATTTTGTGAGGCAAGGCTTTGACAACTTTGATCTGCGTTTTTTTCGGTTTTTTTCAGGGTAAGGGTGACCCCCTCTGCCGATTTTGCTTCCATCTCTGCGACGGCCAGTACATGAAGTTTGAGTCAGTCCACAATGCAAACCGCTACATGTCAGTTCACAGGAAATACGGAGGGGATGACGACGTACGATCATTACGGACTAAGAGTGCCATGTCATCTGGGGAAAGAGGAACACAGGGTCTCTTCAAAGTCGTTCTGGTGGTGAGTTTCATATTCAATTACCATTTTAAAAGAGATTCTAATCTATTTCTATGAATAATTTCTTAACATTTTTGGCAAAGTTCGAGTAATGGGTTTTTCTGATGCTTTCATATTTTATTGAGCGCAATTGGAAGAGTAATGTAAGTACATGCATTAAAGGAATAATTGACTTAATGCGCATTTTTCTTTTGTGCTTTTACATTTCTGCAGGGACACATGAATCAAAGTTTTGCCACGTAGTCGAAGTTGTTCCCTCTCCCTTTCAGTGATACTTTTTAGTGATGACAAGTTGGCTGGAACTCTGAGCCAGGGAACTGGAAATATCAATCCCAAGTACCAGTGGTGTAACTGGGGCTAAATTTCCAGGGGGGCACCCGGGGGTGCACACATATTTTTCAAGGGGGCGCTACAAGAAAATAAACCGCAGCTGTATTTCAATGGAGACTATGCAGAGATTTCAAATGGGGGGTACCCAAGGGGGCAAGGGCATCTGCTGGGAGGGCATGTGCCGCCCCCCCTATAGTTACGCCACTGCCAAGTACTCTTGATGAACAATCTTGTTTTCCTTTGCATGGGAATTATGCACATCATGTGCGAGTCATCCAGCATCCCTGAAGTTTCATGTCATGATCCTGTGCTTATGTCAAAACAGTTAGGCCGGTCATCTACCTCGGAGTTTTATGCCCTTGCAATGAAGACAAGGCCCAGCTGGCATGGCAAATCTGGTTAGCAGAACACTGTAAAGGAAAAGCATTTGGGTTGTTCTATCCCTGGCAGCAATGGAATGCATTCTGCCGTCCAGACCAGCATGGCAGCCAGCAGTGTATGCGCAGATTTAGGGACATGTTTCCCCGCGACTACCCTTTACATCGGTTTGCCCTCAACTAACTTCACTTTTCTAAAATATGACAAACTACCTACATACGTCAGCTCGGGCGTTTGTCCCGGGGGGGGAAGCACTTTTACAATTTTTCTTGGGGTGGGAAGGGCAAAGGAGATGGGATTTAATGAAATAGCCGTTTGCCAAGCTCACTGTTTGCCTGTGTCTAAATGTTGCAGGGATTAAGTTGAATATAAACATGTACATGCAGTGCAGGACGAATATCACTCGTTGAGCAGTAATGCCAAGATAAAAGAATCAAGGTCTACTACATTGCCAGCTCCAAATACCTGGAGCCAGCTGTGACAGTTATTATTGCATATTGTACAAAGATGAACTGTCTCATACGTACATTTATCATGATCTAGATTTAACACTGGCTTCACTTGTTCTTGGCTTCACTTGTTTTTGAAAGAAATACGCAGCCCGTCTTGAACAAGTGTTTGGACAGCTTTGCATGTACGCAAAGAAAGCAAACTTGCCAATTTTTGAAGTAACAAAATCATTGCTGTGTTTAATAAAAAAGGATCTGACATACGTAGTCTATTTGCATTTGGTTCTGCTGTGGATTGTTGCTCCATTTCATTTGGGAGACAATTGTTCTTCGGTACAAATGTAATGTTTGTTAGGTAGTAATTGCTTTGTAACATTCATTTTTGTAAACTGTGTACGTGTGTAAGATGTATGATTAAATGACCCATCAAGAAAAACGGTCAAGGGACAATTTCATTCTAAACAACCCTTTAATACGTGTCAAAGTCAAACTCAACCCTGCTGATAGTAACAAAATCTAACAGAGGTCAAAAGTTCTGTGTTCTCTGATGCAGCAGTTAACAAAGGTGACATGGAGTAGTTTTTGTGTATTGTACATGTATATGCGTAGTGTGCAAAAAAGTCTCTTTTCCCCACCTGATGAAAGAAAACCATGCCTCCCTGGCCAACTTGAAAAATGAAAATGATTTAAAAACAAACAACAGCAGGTATTTTGGAAAATGGATCCTTACTTTATTTGAAGTTGTTTCAACAGAAAGACTAAATTCATCCATTCAATTCATTACATGTAGTTACGAACAGGATGTGTACCATGCCACAATAATGTACATGTAGTACTAGACTAAGGGCCTTTTCGTTTCACATGGATCTGGATCTCAATCAGTGATCCCATCACTGGTTTGCTCCATCCATTAGGCAGGCATGGTGTCAGTGAACCAATGACTGGTCACTGATCGCAGTCCAGATCCATGCAAAGCAAACAGACCCCAAGACTTCCAGCGGAGTTGATGCATTCTTTCATTTCTAGAACTGTGCACAATCTTGGGTGCAAGACTTCACTATTGATCAGTGTTGCAAAGTGATCCATTCTTGCATCTACATGTATCTACCAATAACTAAATACAACCAACACATGCAATCAATCATGTCAGCATTGCTCCTGCCCTTGAAGAGTACAATTGACATGTACTCAAATGGCATTCCAGCCGCTGTTCCTCCTCTCTCCAGCTTTACATCCAAGTTCAGATCAATGTCTGTCTTTCGTTTGAAACCATAGAACCAATGACAACCAATATGTGTAACAAATTCCCTTTCTGACTGAACAATCCATGTACAGTGTCGTTGAGTAAAACTGTAAGTTTAATGCATTAAGCTGGTGAAGGTTTATACTGAATAGTAGCACTTAGCATTCACATTAATGTGGGGTCAACAAATCAATAACAAATTGTTCCCACGTGTATTTTCTTTATATGCAGGATTTTCAGGAAAAGTTCATCAGTTTTTGTATGTATACACGTGTTCACTCACAAATCATAAAGTTTACCAAGAAACAAACTCATTCATTAACAGATATACTGTATACTGTTGGCAAAGCAATTACCGTCTAGGCCTCTGTCCACTCAGTGCAACATTGAAGAACCTAATTCCCTCAAACATTCCCTCAACATACCTCAAACACCAGGCTGCAGCCAACATACAGTACATGGAGTGCATCTCACGAGTATTACTGAACAACTGATTTCACAATCTGCAAAATTATATTAAGATGATATTAAGTGAACATACTTCATGATACAGATATCAGCCCATGAATCTTTCTGCACATGCTCTATCAGCATGTTGAATGAGGAAAGCACAGTGCACAAAACCTGTGAAGAGAATAAGTAATGCCCATTGTGCGCTAATGCACAACACAGCTGAATATCTAAAGTCGGTGAACAAAATCATATCTTTACAGAAGCTGGATTATGTTGTGTGCTCTAGCCATCCAATTTTTTGAGAGAAAAAGATAATTTCCTGTTTTACTTTTCAGTGTGTGACTTACATTTATATGATTGCAAAATTTCACTTAAAAAACGAACTTTACATGTACTTTTTCTGTTATCTTTCCTGTGAATTGGGGTTTCCATAGTTTTTTTATTCAGAGTTTGCATTTACAGTGTACACCTGCATTTTCAAAAAACTTGACAAATGCAATGTGCAAAGTGAACTTTAACTTTATGAAAAACACAATCACATCATCCAAAACCTGAATGATTGAAAGTAATTTTTATATTTCCATATGAAAGTAACACGTATCGGCATTGGCTAGATTAGCTAACATGTAATTTCTTCCTCTTCAAATTTATTTTTGTAGTATGTACATGAAGTATTGAAAATTTTCAATAGCAATGTCCAACTTTTGAAGTTGTCAACTTATGTTTGCTGAGAATGTAATTTAGCCCCTGAAACTCATTTTACTTTTGATGTTACACTTATCCTTGTTGATATTCAGTAAATAATGTATTCCTGGGAGCCACCGGATCCGCCAGACACAGCCTGCCTCAGGATCATCTCAATGGCCTCCGTAGCTTGCTCTTCTTCCACAGCTACCATCTGAATCTCTTGTATCTCCCCAGGGTGTTCAGCCACAGCCCCCTCAGATCTTTCAGTGTCCTCTGTCCCCGCCTCCATCCCACCCTCCTGCCTCTGGGGTTGCTGCTGTCTGCCATCTTGTATGACCTGGCAGAGGATGTACTCTTTGCACAGGTCCTGCCCCGCCTCTCCGACCACTTGGCTGTCGCTGACCACTATCTTTAGATCTTGGCCGTTGCCCTCGGTTGCTGCACTGACCTGCATATTTTGGTCAACTTCGGTTGCCAGCTGCAAATCCTGGCTGAGTTTGTTGGTTGCCATGTCCATCTCCTCTGCCTCTCTTGTGTCCTCCTGCGTGTCTGGCTTACCACTTGCTTCATTCGGGGGCTCCTCTTTATCTGCAAGGAGTCCCGACTGGTGGGAAACTTGGTCAAAGGTGACGTAGTCATCAGCATGCACTTGCCGCATGTGATCCACCAGCTCTTGATACAGGTCTGTTTTCATTTCTGAGCAGAACTTGCACACATAGACGGCAAATCCGGCATGCTTCTTTGTTCCACGGATGTGCTTGCGCACGTTCTCGTGGGTGTTGGCACGGTAACTGCAGTATGGGCACTTGTACGGCTTCTCACCGGTGTGGAGTCGTTTGTGTCGGGTCAGGTGGGTGGAAACACGGCCCATGTAGTTGCAGCCTGGAAAGTCACACTTGAAGGGCTTGGCGCCAGTGTGCTTGCGGAAGTGTCTCGACAACGCCTGCTTGGTGGAGCCAGAGTAACCACACACACTACATAGGAACGGCTTCTCATTGGTGTGCTTGCGCATGTGAGTCACCAGTTCCATGCGGAACTTGAACTTGTAAGTGCAGTCAGGGAATGTGCATTCATGGATCCGGGATGGTTGGTGCTTCAAGCGAATGTGGGATTTCAGAAGTCCCTGGTTGTAGAACTTCTGTTCGCACAAATGGCAAGCTTCTGTCCGCTCTCTTTTTGTATGCAGCTTCATGTGATTCTTGAGAATCGACGCCTTGACGGTAACAAAGTTGCAGAGTGAGCACTTGTGGTCCTTGATGCCATAGTGCCTCTTCATGTGCATTTTCAGGTCTCCTAGTTGGTTGAATCTGAACGGACAAATGTCACAGGCAAATGGTTTCTCACCTGTGTGGATGCGCAGGTGGATCTTCATGTAAGCCTTGGACAGATGTTTGCCGCATTCTTTGCATGCCTCCAAGCTTCCCCCATCTCGCTCTCGTGGAGGCTTTTCCTGGGCGTGCTCAGTCTTGACGTGATTCTGTAGCTCCCTCCTCGTCTCAAACTCGGCGTCGCACTTGCTGCATCTGCACTGCTGCTCGTGGCGGATTTTGTGCCTCTGCAGACCCTGCTCACTGAAGAATCTGACGGGACATTCGTCACACCGGAACACCGAATCTGGGTTGCCACTGCCGATACTCTCCAAGTGCTTGATGGTCCTGAAGTGTTTCAGCTGCGAGTGCTTGTTGGTGGTAGAAAAGCCACAAGGTTTGCATTGGTAAAGATTCTTCACCTTGGACTTGGCCAAAAGAGTCTCCTCCTCCTCGGTTAAGGGTATCTTGGGCTTTCTTCCTCTGTTGCTCGTTTTCGATCCGAGGTTCCTCGTGCCTTTTTCATCTTCGCTTTCACTGCCTGTGCCACTTTCACTCCTTTCTGGCTCGTAAACTGGCACACGCAACCTCTTTGGGTTAACAGGCTGCCGGGTTTTGGCTTTTTTCTTCTCCTGGAGCCCTCCGGGAAAATCTACATACAAGTGGGACAATAACGGAGGCCGTTTCATCCTACGAGGGCGACCAGATCCCTTTTTCATCTCAGCAGATCCCTCTCCGATAGGGGTGCTTGGAATCTTCTTGGGGCGCCCTCTTTTCCGTTGCTGTTGATCAAGTTTGCCGTCATTCTGGGTGGCTGTTGATGTTCCCGTTGGTTCTTCAACTGCCATGCTTTTATTGGTGTCTTCTTCAAGCACATTGTTTGTGCTGGTTTCTTTCTCCTGTGAGATCCCTGAAGGAATCTGAGCAACTGAAATACAAGAAATTTTACAAAAAGGTGAACATTCTTTCTGCTTCATTTAGAACTGTGTTGCACACGTGCAACAGTGCATTGATAAGATCACTGTACCATTGCACATGAAGAAAGTCACTGTGTCCTTCAAGAATGGCAAGGAAAACGTCCAATCACAAAGGTTTTAAAAGCTTCTGATTCACACACAGTGAATCAAGTTCCAAATTTTGCCAAAACATACCTGAAGCAAAGTCCAAAAAACTTTGTTCGGCATAAAAAAATTTGCTGAGCAAAAAAAGAAAGGGGAGACCAGCCAAAGAGATGTGATATGCACTGCTAGTGACTGGCCACCAGCCAATTTCCACAAGCAATATGCTTTTCACAATGTTAGCTCCTTGGAGTTGACGCCTGATCAGGTCTTCGATATTGACAGTCAGTCAATTTACGGAAACAGTGCCAGACAGGGTTAATAAGATAATGAGACAGTTCCGACGGACAGAAGACGGAAATCGGTGTTACATAGGCTCGCACTTGCTTCGCAGCTCACCAAAAAATCCACACTTTTTTACGGCGGTGACCTGCTGCTCAGTAAATATTTTCTTAGCTAATTTCTGTACACAGTAAGTACCTGTCTCTTCAGTGTCTTCAACTGCGCCACTTGAGTTTCCATCTTCCTTAGGCTTCCCCAGGCACTTTGACCTCCTGTGCTCAATGTAGTTGTCCAGCCCTACAATCTGGTCATGGCACTTCAGACAGACATGGAGGTCATCGGGGTCTTCCATTATGACCTTTAACCTGCCAAGGATGCACATTAAGTATTGAATGAGGGCAACTTCAAAAGTGCAATATTAGTTACTTCGTTTTTGACTTTGATGCTTCCATCCTAGAAATAGGGGGAAAAGGACTCACAGTTTTTTGCTGTTGAGAAAGGTGCGCTTGAATGAATTGGAAATTAATTAGCTGTGCAGTAACAGGTTATTATTCAAAGTGAAATCTTGGCCAATCCAACTCTAAAGTTTCTTGATGTTCAAAGTTTTATGCTGGAGGATGCTCGCCTCTGTGCAGTAAGATCACGCCAGTCCTCAATAATATTCGCTTTTTCATTTTGAAAATTGACAAAATTGGAAAACAAATTGTGGCCAGCCACTATCTCATCCTACACTAATATTCTAAAGCTTATGAAAATTAAGAAATTCCAGGAATAAACTATTAACTCAGAACTAGGAGGAATTCCACCATACTTTTTGCCAATCAGAATTTGAATTGATGCTATTAACAACCAATCACATCTGTTCTGAGTCCATTCACATGGCAGTACATCCAGGCCTAATCTTTCATGTACCAAGGACCCATGAATATCAACTTATAAAATGTTGGCCCGACAATATTCAGCCCCATGTCCGAATGTTAAAAAAAGGTAGTCTGGCTGTTTCACAACAATCCTGTGTCTACCAGTCGACCTTACAGCACAATCTTTTGATCCTCTCACCTTCAGCATATCATCTTTTTCCCAAATTCACGGTTAAGATTGTGAAAGATTTGGTTTGAAATTGAGACGTTAAAAACGAGATTTCCACAGGATCAACCAACAGCACAGCATGATCGACTGATCATACACAGCTTGTCATGCTAGTACTCATGTATCCTACATACAGCCTTAAGTTATGGGATTATGATACATTATGAATAGACCAGTAGGCTGACGTCTTTCATGACATACTCTCAATTTCCATCCTATTAGGCATGAACAAGTGTCTATCTTATTTTGCACTTTGAAATTTTGTAAGACTTCATTGTTAAATAAATTACAACAAATTAACAGCAGCCTACAGCATGAGCAATACCCACTTTCATGCAATGGCTGTGGAACAATTTCAAAGGTGGAGGGCAATTCATCTGTTCTCGAGTTGTAAAATGCACGGGTGTACAGGAGTCTGAGCTGCCTGCAGGCACTACACGTGCGCATTTCCAGTGAAGGTCTGTTGCCTGCTACACGGAGGCCGTGACTGGTACCCGGCTTTCACCCGCTTACTGTCAAGCCGATAACAAAATTGCAGTTCTGTTTTTATCGGATGGGGCGCTTCAAACTGACCAATTAAACCCCTATTAGTTACCTCTATAAAAATGTTCATATTTTGTTCAGCTTTATATTTCAGTTTATAAACTGAAATTTGCGACACAACCTGCTATTTTATAAGAATATCCTTGGTTAGCATAGAAGGCTTTGTGTAAGCAGAGTTCTTGTACGGGAATAAGTTCATCAACAATCTCTCCTTGAAGTGTTTAACATGTTTAATTTATTCATAGAGTTTTATTAGTTAAAGATACACAATATTGTAGGGATCTGATCTTTATTACAATTAAACATTAACTTTTCTTAAAAATTGAGAAATAAAAAAGAGGATTACATTGCGTGCATGATGATTGTGATGAACAGGCAAGAGCGATGCTAGTTTGATTGGGAACACAGCATGCCGAGGCAGTACTGGCGTACGCACACAAATCGTGCTGTTTATCGGCCTTTCCTTTTTTTTACTCTTAATACAATAAGCAGACTAAATTGGTAATTGGAAGAGACAAGTTGGATTTTAGAACAATGGACAGTAAGCTACACTGTGTCGATGCTCTCTTAAAACCCTTAGCCTCACATAGGCCTACATCAAACAGCCGGAAATGCAAATTCAAGTCCACCTGTTAACATATAATATATGCTATAAAATGGCCAGGATTTGTACAATTCATGAAGTTTAGCTTTACTGGCCATAGTAGACTCAGCTTGCAAGCAGGTAACTAGGCCAACTGTCACCCTACGCACGCCACAGCCTCGCATCCAACCTGATGTTGTATGTACTCGGCATGAAGATCAACGATACTCATGGCTGAGAACCACGTTTCCCGTTATGTGCTTTATATGAGCGTTTATGGAACAAGTGGATTCAGTTAGACGTCAGTTTTGCTGGCTCCAGTCAGAACAAGAAGTTTTGATGTGCATGTGCGCAGCTCAGAATCTCGTATGCCGTCTTCTGCGCGCGCACTCTGTACGAACTGCACTGGAAAATGGCTGCAAACAGTCCACAACGATGGCAAAAATTAACACTGCGCCCAACTATAATATTTTCCCGTTTTTGTCTTTGGTGGTGATGTGTTAAATTTCTTATCCCACCACCTTTGGAATTGGTGAAATTGGCTCCTTAGAAAAGGTAGAAGTGTTGAAAATTTTAGTAAGGCTATAAAATATTTTGCCTGATCTTGCACCCTTTATATCCTGGACTCCATCCGTAACGTAGGACAGTCAGGGAGTCCACCTGGGCTAGTCTATGTTTAGGCACCAACAAGGCATCACACATGGTATTGTAGTACATACATGATCAGAATAGGCCTAGGCCTACACTGGCCAACATGTAGGCATGGCTTCTCGCAAATAGGCCTACTGCATTTGCACAATGCCTTTCTACTACTTTTATACAAAATTACCCATGCGGTATTTGCGATACTGGTTTATGTGCATGTACAGTACACCCTACATCAGCACATGTACATGAAGTGAATGGCGGTATCCAATACGCCGGGCGGGGAGTGTATGGTAGCTTAGTTAGCACACACTACGCAGTTGATGTCTTTTCAGAGCCACTGTACAAAGAATGCAAATTGATCGCATAAATTGAGCAACTTTTGAACGGATGAACGAAAAATGTTGGACCACTTCTTCACTCAAAAAGCTGTGCACTCTGGAATGTTGCTTAAACTCACCAAAGTGTCCAAAAAGACCAAAACTAGTTCGCAACTTCGACGAAATCGCACAGAAGCCTTATCAGACGCAAATTTCTGATGGCGGAATGTAATGCGCAAGCGCGCGCAAGCGTGGTTCGCAATTCGCAAACGGAATGCTCATTTCATCACTATGATCATTGTCGCTGGCTCCCGCTTCATGAATATTCATTACAAATATCATTCATTCGTTTAAAGCTATTTGTGGTACAGTATAAATATTAAATTATAAAGTGAAATACAGAATTTGTACGTTCTCCAGTTTTTCCATCAATCACCGCGGAATTCACTGCATGACTCGTTGACTTTTATGGAAAGTAACGCACTTTGGCCATCCTTAGCCTCGGAAGTTCAGTGGATCAGCAGAAGAACGCATCGATCTGTTTTCTCTCTTCATAGACTTCGCGAGCTTTATCATGTAGGCCTACCGCCACGTAGGAAAAGTTGCAGACTCGGAGTTTTCAAGATGTAGGCCCACGTGTGGGAGAAATGTTGATGTTAAAAGTGCTGAGTTCATTGCTGAGTTTAATCAAAATGAAAAAAAAAATGAAAAACCCGTTTTCAGTTGGAATATATCAGGTCCTCAAAGCAGACGCAGGGGGCCAAGCATCATTGTTGCCCAAAACATAAAATCATCAAGGCCGTAACAATTCAAACAGTTTTCTTAAGTTAAGGTCGGAGTGCAAAAAACAGAAAAGACGTTGGAAGAACAATGGGATAGCCTCATTAAAGATCATGAACAAATACCATAAATAAAACCAAACCAGCTCAGTATATATGAGTCTGGTGGGAGGTTAAGTTACTTGTTAAAGGCCAATACCTGTGCTTTTTCGTTTACTCAATTTTTGAAAATTGTAAAGCTTAGTCCGTATCAGTTTGAAATATTTATTCATTTATTTTCTCAATCAGTTTTCTCACCCTTTTTAGACATTTCACCGTTTTGTCCATTTCTGTGATATAAATAATTTTATTTCACATTTACAGAGATCTCTACCCGTGAACCAAACATTTCCTTTCTTGAAACAATTTGCATAAATTAGTCCAAAAGGGAAAAAAATTTAAGATTTAACGTTTAATGAATAAATTGCACGAATCTTACAAATGCTTGCCCATCATTCACGAAATTGAACACCAACACATACCGCTGGAGTGTCCGCGCAAATTTGAATGCCTTTTGCCGGGAAAAGCCATATTATTTTTTGCCTCCTAGTTCTCGTCAGCATGTCTTGACCCTTCCAAAATCACTTCGTAACACGTCAGGATTGACGTTATGAGTCAAAGTATGATTTCCGGCCGAGGAAACATTAGTTGGCGCGTGCAGCACATATGCATAACGCGTAATCTTCGAAACTGAATATATATACATATTATGAATATTCATATTTATAAAAACACTTAAGAATCTGAAATTTGTAATTTTCGGGGTGAATATCCGTGTTCTATTATGAAAGTATAGTTTAATTGCTTTATTTTGGTAAAATAAATTCATTTTTAAAATTTTGTTTGAAAGCAAAAAGAAGAACTACAATATTTCCTCATTTGACCACGTGATTTTACGCTTGTACCACCTGATCAACATCAGTCACGTGACACTCCAAAATTGCAAGAAAGCTGCTCGTGTGGACTTGTACCTCAAAAAATTGCCACAAGTTTGGCTTGAAATTTTCACCTCAAAATGACAGAATTTATGTTTAATCCGGTAAGCTTCAATTTTATCATATCCTCGTGTATAAATTGATATAGGTAAAACAAATAGTGTACTGTAAACAAATGAAAAAAATGGGCATATTTATAGACGGGGGATTGATCAATTTGATTATTCCCGGCTATCGTTGAAATGTAATTTTAAAAATGATATTGATATTGCGACGGTAGCGGGGAGCTGTAGAATGGGATGCTAGACTGCTCAGTGCATACTGATCAATCTACTGGACTAGCTTCATATCCTTGACCCTTCCTGGAAAAAAGTGGAGACTTTGCAAGCTTTGTGAAAATTATAAGCCCTATCCTATCTCACCTGCTCACTCTCAGCTTCATTAGTCCGCCCAAACTGCGATTTCCTGACTGTTTTTCTCGTTATATTTTGGTCTCTTGCCAACTTCTTACATCATTTTATCATCACAGTGCTGCCATACGTGTATATTAATACATATACATGTACACTGATTCACTGATGATGATGAACAGTGCCAAACACACGAGGGATCTATTTTGGTGTGGGAACCTGACATCATACGTGTAGACATGATAGACGAGAGATTTTAACGCCTGCTTTATCAGTAACTTTATGTTATGGATAAAACTTTGTCGCAAATATTTTGCCTTTACCTTGAAGGGTTCAATATTTGCCCAACCTGCACAAAGGCCTTCTAACTGAAGGCTGTCCAAAACAGGTGAAGACCTAGGCCTAGCTCCAGGAATCGGCTTCATTATTATAGTCAGGTCTTCTGGAACAAGCCATGTGGAAAGCAAACCTTGTTTTTGCGAGCCATGTCCTTTTTCAATGCCTTTGTTTCTTTCTCAGTGCACAGCTTCACTTGGCATCGCACGTGGACAACCACGCAATAGCACACGTACATGGTCACTGCCCCGCTGTACTGTGCAGAAAGCTCAAGGCCAGGTTGGGCAAGCGCTTATCATCATGTATTTGCTGTTTGCTACTAGCACACTTACCTTCCAAACTATTGGAGTAATATTCGTGATTAGTTTTTAAACAAATGTACGACATGGCAAAAATATTCACAACCAGTCATGAAAATATTCACGACTTCGCACAGATATTTATGAATAGTGGTGAATAACTTCATGACGTCTCAAATACATTCATGACAAGTCTTGAGTAAATTTAAGTCGGGAATTTTTATGTCCCTTTAGGGCCATCCTAGTCAACCGGCCTATGAAATGAAATGGAATTGTTTCCAAGATCCCTGCTGTGTTTATTGCCGTTCAGTCATGTCAGTGAATGTGTGACCAAAAGCCAGACTTTTGTCCAGAATTTCTGTCACGCTGATTTTAAAAATTAACTAGAAGTCTGCCTTCCAGCTGAATCCAGCGGCAACAACTACATGTAAATGTTATTTTCTAATTTAACAAGACCTTCGCAGCTGTCCAGTCTGCAATGTATGCTTACCCATACGGTGCAATAGTGTATATTGCACTCCCATTAGCATGCACTCAGACCCAACGGCCTTTGCTTGTCATTCTTGCCAATCCAGAGGCTGGTAGTCGCGAGAACATGTACACACTTAGGAAGCAGTTGCCGCCAATTCCCATAAACAGTACTTGTTTATCAACTGTAGCGGTGGCCAACCATTTGGTTGTGGCTACTCTTCACATGTACATGTACACTTCATGACTTTCTGAAGTGAATCGAGAAGTTTTTTCAACATTTTTGTAAAATTGGCTTGGATTTGACCCAGCATGTTCTTGGTACAGGCAACGGTACAGATGTTGGCCACATTCGGGAGAAATTTGGAAGGAAACTGCAAAGCATTTCTCAAGGAACGTTCCTTCTGAAGAATCCATTGTTAAATGTCATATTGAACCAATGGCACAAGGACTTCTTTCTGTGGGTTTCAGAGAGCCATGCGTCTTCATTGTTCTGTGTCTGAGTAGAATGATGGAAAGACAGACCCCTAGTTCTTGGGCTAAAATGATGCCACAACATAGACACATATATAAATCATGCAGATTTTGACCAATCACACAGCTCGATGAGTCGCACCCAACATGTTTTTGTAGAAATCAACAAATTTAGTATCAATAAAAAGAGTAATCACATCAAAAAATGATATTTTTTATTGGTGCTCACCTAGAGGAGACATGAATATGACCATTTAAATCAGGCCATTATATATGACCGAGAAATCTGGAGGCAGATTATGGGTCAGGCTTGTACTTGGCTGCTGTGTCTTGACCCATGCTGCACCTCAGCATCTTTCCATGGCAGGGCCTTGTAGTGTTATGGGATTGTTGTGAGAAATGTCAACAAATATTGTGCTACAAATGAGTACTTTCAAAAATCAGTATTTGTGGTGCTTTGCTTTATCTGAAAAGTTGGTCAATATTTATGTCATATTTCAAGTGGGTGGCTTATTCTAGGTCGCAGCATACATAAAAGACATTAAACATAGCAAACAATCAACATTAAAAATACAGATTCACATAAAGTCACATCTATTTTAAACCTCACAAACATGAGAAAAAGAAGCCATCCTAGGTAGTTACCAGAAGCATTGAATCATAATATACTTTTATCTTGTCTTTTCAAAAGCCATGGTTTTGGTCAGTTATTATTTGTGTCATTTTACAGACAAATATGAAAACAAAACATACATTCAACTTACTCAATATAGATTTTTGAAGTTTAAGAGTACATTGCATTTTATAGCAAAATGAAACCTTTACATGTGCATTCAGTAGAATTGATTTTATGGTGGTCACAATCTTTTTTTGACATAATTTTTCCCTACCTACCATCCCCATTTTTTTCAGTGTTGTCAACCCGGTTGTCTGCAGCCTCAGAGAGTTTGAACACATAATGGATGGTTGCAACTTGAGTCCTTCCAACAGACTGTTCACGTGCATTTTGCCGATCGTTACAGCATAGTGTTTTTGTGATTTTTTGCTCTTTCGGCAGCATGGAGCGACTGACAAAAGACAGGTTAAGACTGGAAAGGGAAAATGAAGGGTAGAGCCGAGAATCTTCCATGACTCAGGTGGTCTGTCACAGGCAAGGCATTTTATTTTCTCAGAATCTGCTTAAAGGTGTAGACTGCCTGATCTACATGTACTTCCACTAGAATGAGGATTGACATTTAAAGTTTTAAGATAAAAGGAACCATTTTCTCTCTTTAACCCTCAAGGATCTCATGCAAAAATGATATTGCACGAGCGATAATGCCAAGTATCAAGAGAAAGCCAGTGAATTTTAATTAATACCATTATCAACCGCATTTTTGACAAATGTAGTAGAGTTCTGTATTGTTAACATTGCTGTATTTTACTTATACTGTATTTGTACAGGCACTGCATACAAACCATGAACATAATGATTTGTTGAGGGGTCCCTTGTCTCACTCCCTTGTAGCAGCAATGGAGGAGTCTGGCCAACTGGTGCCCGTGTTGGTGGAACCAACAAGCACAGTGGACCTGACGGAAATACATGTATCTGCAAGGAGTCACCAAGCCACGCCCAGCCCGAGGGAGGATGTAGGTCCTTCTGACACAATGCTAGAAGGTAACTGGCTTTCTAGAAGTCCACTCTGACTAATGGTACTCCCTCACCCGCAAAGAGGCAGGCCGGTGGAGAATTTTCAGCTCATGCATGCACCCGACTGTGTCATAAACAGAATTTTTGGTGCATGTTGTGTGTGATATGTGTCAAGCATGAATTTGTACGCTCATGTGAGTACCCTGCAAAAGGATCATTGCCTTGTAATAAATTCACCACATCTTGTTCCCGCCGGGAAGAGAGATCACTGTGGACAAGTGTACACACAAGCCCCTTGTCACTGAGTGTGTTGCTGCTGCTAAGCACCAGTGGGTAGAAATGAAGAAAACAAAATGGGAGGGACATAATCATTTTCGATTTAGCGCAAAATTTTCACAATAAAATGGTGCTGAAGCACTGTCATGGACTCCATGGAACTGCAGAAGAAATATCCTGATCATAAAAGAATTTGTGTAGGAGACGCATTATTTGTTTGCTCTGGTTCAAAATATAGGACAGACTTTCATCAAACCATCAAAAACATCAAAATCAGCCCAAAATATCTTTTCTAGAAGTTTTCTGAAAACAACATTTTGTACCTCAAGAAGATTACATTTCACCTTTCAAACTGAACTTGTCTGAGAATGTTGAATTAAAAAACAACACAATAGAGGTAGGTTTTTATTTCAAACAACTAGGAAAAATCCGGAACTAGGAAATTGGCAGTATTTCTTAGTAAAAATGCCCTCAAAGTTGATTAGTTCTCAGTGGAATAAAATGAAAATGCTATGACCAGGGAGATTGGAATCAGCCCAGAATTTTTAGCATACATACTGCATCTGGGTTCAATGACAAACGCTGTCAAATACAATACTGTTGTGCTGAATATGCTTGCAACTAATCATGTTTGTCACATAAAGTGCGGTAAACTTCTTTGCACTACATGTAGATAACCTGTGAAGACCGTGGAGAATGGGGAAAATCCAATAGAAAAAAATAGCAGGGCAGTGAGAAATTTGGCAGGGCCGCAAAACTTCAGTGGGGCAGCCTAAAATTTGGCAGGGCACCCCACCCTGCTAAAACCCCTCATAGAGAACACTTAAATATATTTATTGCTTATAAATTAAATAAATACACGAAGTTGTGCATTTAATTACATCGTGCCCTTGCATGCTGTTGTACTTTTATCTTTTGACAGGTGCAAATCTGTGTGCTCCAGGGGTTGCAGAATCCAGGTGCTTAAAAGTGACATTCAACCCAGAAGAAGAAAGCAAGCCAAGCTTTGAAAAGAAAGCTGCAAGCAGAAAGACAAATGGCTTGGCTTCTCAGCAACACTCCTCAAATGCCCCGCCCAGCAAAGATGACGTCCTGTCTGTCGTTATCGAGAAACTGACAGAATTGGTAAACGACAGTGAAAAAATACAAGGAAGGAGGCCCCCGTCTGCCGTTTGTGATGGTTCAAGACAAGCAGCTGCATCGGAGGGGGCCGAACCACTCTACAAGTGCCCCAAGTGTCCTTGCCTTTTTGCCCTCAGTGCCAAGCAGTTGAAAAGCAAAGAGGCAGTTCTTTGCGAGTGTTGTGAGAAAGCTGAAAAGACAATGGAGTACATGGCCCCGCTTGGTGAGAAGCAAATGGCCAAAGGCCAACAAGCAGGGTATCCCACTAGGGTCCAACACTCCAGAGTCAATTGTGAACTCTGCAGTCACATTGCCGACGGCTATGTAGACTTGCTGTACCACCTGTTGTCCAAGCATGCCGATGCCAAAATCTGCAAGTGCAAACTGTGTGACTTCTTCACCACGGTGGAGGCACGCATACAGGAGCACGCCGCCATCCACCACGCGCCTCAGGTGTACAGATGCAGCATCTGTCCCTTCCTGACAGACAAAGTCATCAACCTCCAAGAACACATGAAGAACCACAACAAGGACCGAGAGCTTCTCCTGAAGTGTTCCGAATGTGGTTTCTCGTGCCAGTGTGAGGACATTCTCCGAGCCCACATGTGGGAGCACATTCCCTCCACCTCCAAGGCAGGTACCAAAGTGAGGAAACCACACCCAAGGGAAATTGTCCAAACCTCAAACCTGGGAATTAATGCAAACGAGAGAGGGTCACCACCAGTGCCTAATCCAGCATTGCCCACACAGAGCACTGAAAGAGCGCATCCATACATTTTCAAGTGTTTACTCTGCGGTTACCTCTGTGACAGGTTAGCTACGCTCAAGGCACACGCCTGGCGCCATGCTGGAGAGAAAGGATGCTCCTACCCAGTGGTGGATGATGATGAATGTCTGAAGAGAAGTTTGTCCACCACACCATCCCAGGCATGCCTTACTGGTAAAGCATTCCCGCTGGCAGTGCTCAGCAACATAGAAGTGGCTGAGACGCCAAAAGAAAGCTTACCCTTTGAAGGAATCAAATCCAAAGATGGCTCTTGCAAGAAGGAAGTCATAACAGGACATGAGTCAGAGATGTCTCACGAATGCTGCTCTGGGTCAAAATACATACCAGAGGAAGTGACAAGCTGTCGCTGTAAAGGTATCAACATCCCTCCTTCTTCTGTTCCTCATATCAAGGAACTTCTCATCCAGAAGAAACTGGAAAAACAGAGCAAAAAACCAACTGAAGAAAATGAGGTAGACAAGGCAGTTTTGGCAGCAGAACAAAATAGCTACCCAGCGTCCAGAGAGGAAGACAAAATGGAAAACCCTATAGCACCTCATCAGAATAACACATTGGTCAAAATGCATGAAAGGTATGAAGATGTTCATGTGCCATTTCCTTGTGGAAACTATGCAGTGACTGACCAGGCCGAACCAGAGAAAAAATCTACAAGTAAGCAACTTAAACCTCAGGTGCTGGTCGTCGATCCAGGTGACACACAGATGTTAATCATTGACCCGAATCAGCCAGTGCCTGAGCCGGCTGCTGTGGTAGAGGCCTGCACAGAGCACAGTTCAGCACTGCCTGAGGAACATTTGATAACCACTGACAGTGTGTTCATCCCACCTTACAGCAGTGCAAGGAAATCAATAGTATCATTGAACAGACCTCAGTCCATTTCTGATATCTCTGCCAGTGTGCCAAGCTCCAAAGCTGTGTTTACATCCGTGCCACTTTCTGGGGAGGCAACTGTAGTTAGTCCACAATATGCCATGAATAACACAGAGTGTCTACCCAGTGATGAAAGGATTCCACAACAGGCCTTTGAGGAAATCAATACAGATCCACTGGTTGAAATCCAGAGGTGCCACATTGAAATAAAAACTTCCAACAGAAACCAGGACGAAACATCAGGACCAATGAAGTTTGTGCCCTCCTTTGGTGAACAACTGACACCATCTGAGGTGAGACAGAGCACCCATCTATCGTATCAGGGTCAAGACTTCACAAGGAGCACTTCAGAATCTCAGGAAACTCCAACAGACAGTCTGATGACAGGTCTGGGTGGGTCAGATCCCCTTGACATGCGTGTCATTGAAAAATCAGAAGTTATCACTCCAAAAGTGTGTTCTACTCGTTCAAGCAAAGACTTTCCAGCTAGATCACTTGTGTGTGAGTCTCAGCAGATGCCTTGCAAAAAATCTATTCATGGAATCACGGAAGAGATTATTATGCAGTCAAAGCAAAATGAAGGATCTGTTGTCAATTGCTCAAATTCAGACACTGAAGAAGGCAGCCTTCAAATTACAAAACAGTGTGACAGGATCCTAAAAAAGCAAACAAATTACAACACAGGACTGGAACCTACAATTACTGGACAGAAACGGGGTGCAGATAGGACAGACATTGAGTTGTTTACCAGAGCAAAGCGCACCTGTCCTTGTGATGAAAATTCAAATACCGAGAGATTGATCTGCCATCCCATAATTAAGCATCGTATCAGTACAAGGTCAACAAATGAAGAGCAGGCTAGACCCATTGGGAAGCTTGAAACAGGACTTGAGATAAAGGAGAAGCCCATGGACATGAACTCCGATGAGGACAGCATTGTGAGGTTCTTCATGAATGTCACCACTGGCTTTGACAAGCCCTTTCAGTGCAAGCTCTGCAGCAAGTCATTTGAAACCTACAAGTTCCTGAAGCAGCATCTGAATGTGCACTTGGTTCACAACTCCTTCCGCTGTCCCCTATGCAAGAAGTGCTTTGAGTCTTTGGAAAACCTCAAGCTTCACATCCTGGAGCACTACACAGAGCTGCACAGATGCTCAGAATGCTCGGCCACCTTTCACACAAAAAGTGATCTACAGGCTCACAGGCAGTCACACACAGTTCCTAGGGAGTTCAATTGTGAGAAATGTAGCACAAGAACCCCCACTCAAGCAGAATACATAAGTCACTGCGAAGCTGTCCACAGCGATCTTGGGAAACCACCTGTGATGTGTTCCCACTGTGGGGAAAGCTTCAGTAACACAAATCTGCTACTGCAGCACACACTCAGCTGCCCAGTGCGCAAGATGCGCTCCTGCAAGGATTGTGGCTTTGCGTCAGAGACAGTGGAAGGACTCGAGGAACATGTTAAAGGGTGCCACCAGAAGCCGAAGCTCTACACATGCGACCTCTGCGACTACAAAACAAGCGCCAAGAATGGTATCAAGAACCACATGAAGTTTCATGCCAAGGACAGGCCTTACAAGTGCCAACAGTGCAGCTTCACCGGTGCCTACCCGCAGAGCCTGCGATCCCACATGAGGATGCATGCCCAGCCTGACTGGCGCCCTGACTGCTCACCGTCAGAGCTGCCCGAGCAGTACAGATGCCACCTTTGCTGCTACACGTGCAACTTCCTTCCATCACTGAAGTCGCACATGTGGCGACATGCCAGTGACCCAAACTACAGCTACAAAGGTGATCAAAGCATCAGCACAGATGTAGCAACAACATCGGCTAGTGATACCTCCGTAGACCCACCAGTGGTGACCTCTCCACATCAAAGTCCTCACTCCCCAGCAAGGAGCAGCCCAGTCCTGCAGGGGCCTCAGCAGAGGGCAGGTTTCACTAGCAGCCAACCGGTGACCTTCTGCTGTCGAGAGTGTGGCTTTCAGAGCGTAGACAGACTCAGGTTGGTGGAACACCTGAAGACACACCTGGATCAGGAAGCAGAGAGAAAGCAGAGCCAGAAGGCAGCAAAACAGAAGCGAGAGGAGGACCAGTAAGGGCTCCAAGCACAGTCAAAGAGTATCAGCTGTCCCAGTAAGCCAGCTGATGCAACTCATTGACTTTATGCAGAAAGAATAAATGGTGCTGTGAGGTCCTTCACCAGAACTTTAGAGTGTGTGACTTGCCACATACAGCACATTGATGCATACATACTTGGCACAAAATACAACTCATTTCTTCGGAATGTGTACCAACCTGTTCTCACAGCACAAGGCAGTGATTACATTGAAGTTTCTGCCATACCTTTCTCACTTTGTGACTTTAGGGGGTTAGTAAAGTACTTGTACATGTACTTAGACTCCACAGGGTAACTTTAATACCACAAAGGTGTTAGGTTTTACAAAGGAAAACAATGTAGAGAGCTAAATGTCAGTGTATGCATAATCCAGTATTTGATGTAATGTTGTTGAGAGTGATTAGCTGTAGTTAAGAAAAGGATAAGATGTGTGTTGTTGCTTTCTATTGATCTGAGTGGAGATGCTTACATTCTGCATATGTACAATAAGATGCATTTTACTTTGCTTAATACTATGCCTATTTAATTTTTCTTTTTATTTATTGTTTTCAGGGTTGAGTTGTGGTTTCCACATTTTTATCATCAGTGGCCCACGTACAAACTGAGTGAAATGCAGGCATAATCTGTTCACATGTATGGTACCAACAAAAATGAAAATTTAATTTTCTTTTCGGGCATTTTATAAATTTTGTGGAAGGTTTCAAGAGACCACAGCCAAAAATTATTTACCTGGACGTTGTTGTAAAAATCCTTTGTAGTCAAAATCCAGTTTATCAAGGAAATTCATGAGGAAATGTTGCAATATGGTTACTCTATCACTCTTCACTGATTTTGAGTTGATGCATATTCAGTTTTTTGGTACATGAGTGTGTCAAATTTCGCTTTTGTTTGTTAGTTGCTTACTTCATATTGTGTATTCATACAAATTACTTTTTGTTGCGTTCTTAGTTTTCTTTTCCGTTTTGAAGCCCATTTGTTTTATTTTGTTCCAGTTTGAATTGTAAATGTCAACTTTAATAATGTTGCTAGAAGAACTTACAGACGTTGTTTCGTATTCATCTTGTGTCAAATGTAATATAATGGTAAAAATGAAAAGATTTACTTGTGTAATATGCTTGGAGTCATTAGGACTGACAGGTTTAACTATGTGATCTATTGGGCACATTGATTTTTGTAATGTACATACATGTACAGTACAGTTGCTCTCGCTGAACAGATTTGTTTGAAGTATTGCCCCATTCTGACACCAATCTACTCTCAAGACAAGAATCATAAAATTGTTACTTGGGAACACTTGTGCCTTAAATGCGCTGTAAAAGAGCTGAGAATATGCCTCTATTGTCTGTGTTCACAGGCTTTAGTTTGATTTGGTAATTACTACTCCTTTGCAGAAAGGTAGCTGAGTGGATATTTAAGACATTTTAAAAAAATTATACCCATGTAATCAGTAAAGATGTAAGTTGCCGTACTACGGGCAATCTTGTCAAAATGTTTAAGAGTCTCATTGCCTGCTGGAGTGCTCCAGCTTTGGCCAGAATGATTGGTCACTTTTGACTGCAGCCCAAGTTCATGGCTCTGTTGACAATGGATTTCTTATGATCAGCTTTCAGTGCTTACATTTCTCTGCTCTGAAGTTCTGTCATCCGCTTTGAGCAGAACAAAAGAGGGTGTGGGTTTTTTGGTACTCACTGCATAGGTGCACCTTGAGGCGCGCAAGTATATACATGTACATGTTTGACACAAAGCACGCTGAATACGCGTAATTAATTTATTCTAGCATGTATGGTCTTTGCGTACACGCAGAACGTGTGCAAGAACCGATTGGGGTGCACTTCAGCTCGGGGTCGGATAACCAGTGGTATCTGGTTGGTATTTCAAAGAGACAGGGGTCTTTCAAGAACAAAGCATCTGATGTCATGCCAAATTGAACATGTTCAAGGTGTGTCTCACCAACAGGGCCAACCTTGCACATGCATATTGATTTTTGTTTGTGAATGACCTGCAATGCTCTTTATTTTGGGCATACCCTGTCTGAATACCAAACTCGCTCATTAAGCACAGGATTTGTGCATGCATATTACTCAGGAGTGTGCTTTGGCAGGGTTAGCGTTCGGTTGGGCATTTGAAAATTGAGATAATGATATTTTTGAATTCAGCAAAAAAGAGCTTTCCAATGGTACATAACACTTAGGGTAAAAGTGGGATGACAATGTAACAATATTCCGGCAGATTTGCATCTTTGTTTCCGACATTGTTTTAACATTTCTGACTTGGCACAATAATATCATCATCAAAATTGGTCTCTACATCTGATCCTGAGAAAAATTTGAAATTAAATGGAAGCTCAGGCTACTCTTTCCAAATGTTACAAAACCCCAAAATTGACCTCCCCTCAAAGTTTTAACTTTGAACCGTCATAATAAGAAATAGCTGAGAGCGATTTAAGGCTCATTTTGTTGTCTCACCAGGTCACATGCTAACTGTGAGAACAGAATTTTCTATGGAGATCGTTTGTTATACTACAGAGAGCCATGAAATTAGGCCCAGGACTATTTATTTAAAAATGCTGCTGCTTTAACTATAGAGTTGTTTTGAAAAGTGTGCTATTTTTATGGAAAACCAGTGTATACTTCAGAATTTTGGATTATATTTATTCTTTGATTTATTTATTGAATGTTGTTTATCCTGTTTTAAATTTAGAGTATACATGTACTTCACTTTTTTTTCTGAAATCCATCACCCAATTACTTTTACCTTCTTAATATGACAGGTACATATTACTGCTGTCCAATCATGTTATGCAGGCTGGTTGGTTTTCATTCTCTACAACCAAATAAGAGACCTGCCGGCTTACCATCATGGACGTTAAGGATGCATTGCATTTAAATTATCAATGCTAACGGATGACAACATTTGCAAGTGATTCCCCATTGGGTGTGTGAAAAAAAAGAACATTGACATGAGTATAGTACACCCCTTGTTTTGTGAGATTTTATTTTGATGCCACCCATTTTTCTCAGTGGAAGGAAGCTTTCAAGAGTTACTGCACAGTGTTGGATTTTGGTCAGTATCTGGAACGTTCCTTTGCAAATTTGTTGAGGAGATGATGATGTATTAGGGTTGAAGGGATTTTTAGCTCTCTGACAAAGTGGGCCAAGGTCCTTTGTCTCATCTGTAGAACACATTGATTGTATTTTACTGTACCAAGTTTCCAAGTCAAGACTACTTAAGATTTAGCTTTTTCCTAATTCATATGTATTGTGCTGATGGACATAGGAGTTTATTCTTTGCTTAATTAAAACAAACCAAAACTGTACAATAAGATGGTGCATATGTACATGTATTTGTAACAATGTGTTAGAACTTTTACCACATGGTCAACATTTGAAAAAACGTCGTACATGTACATGCATGGACAAAATCTGAAAGAACTTCATGCATGCAAATTAAAATCATTTATTTTTACTCACAGGGCATTAAAATTTGTATAGTTTTACTTATAAAGTTTTAATTGTAGTTGTAACATTTTATCCATAGATTCTGTCTATTGGCCAACAGCTTGTCTCATGATATTACCGGTTTATGCAAGGTTTTTCATCACAACCCCCATGGGACCATTCCATTGTCCAAAAGCACCATGCCATAGCAACCTACTTAAAGCGAGAGGAAGTTGGTCATACTCAAAGTGCATCCCTGCACACATTTGGTGTTGGTGTATAGTTTTTCCTGTTACACAGTGATTTATAGATTGAACCAGTGAAAAGCTGTTTGTAAAACAGGTGGAGTTTCAGTGAAGTGTAATTTCAGTTTGAAATATTGCTCATATTTATTTTAGTTAACTGAATTTTGTACAAGTCTCTTAATAAAACTGTACAGAATCTGTGGGTTAGGTGTTACACATCTCATGTGTACAATATAGTTGGTAAACTAGTAGTCTTGGTACAAGATACTGGTGTTTGTTATAGACTGTAACTTGATATATTGGCAGCCCATTACAAACAGTAATGCATTGGACTAAGACCAAAAAAACAGTAACTCTAGCCTGCCTAAGTGATTTTTAAAATGTTGTATGTCCCCCACATCTTTGCCTTATGCCACTTTCCACAAATTACCTAAAAAAGTACCTGTCCTGTTCCTTTTTGTAGTACGTTGTAGTCAATACTTGTCAACTTTGTTGCAGACTCAATTTTCACATATCCCATTGCTGAACTTCTCAGTTGGTCAGTGTGTGCCCTTTTAGAGATAAGATATTGTGGGGGGGGGAGGAAGTGAAGGGTGGTGAAGTGAAGATCATTGAAATGTGTACCCCAACTACTGAATCACGCTTTGCATTGTATTCATGTATGTAAACATAGAATTATATGTATAGAAATGCTAGCTCAGGGTAAAGTTGTCTTATTTCAAATCAAATAACTTTTACTGTTGATTTGGTTAATGGATTTCCTGTTATTTCAGCATGGGCTATTTTTGGAGGTGAAAGGAAATCCTGTCTTGTCATGTTCTGTATAGTTCTCTGAAAATGTGAAATGTTCCTTTAGTTTTTGGGGGGCACTTTGTAATGCAAGTATTAGGTTTCTTGTGGTTAGGAAACATTGGAGCTTTTTAGTATAGATACTGTATTGCGCCATCTGTTCATCTTATAATTATTTTAGTGGAAGTAGAATTTGCCTGTTCATTGACTTTAGTATATAGAAAAGTCTAGAATGCAGAGTTTTCTTTTGTATTTAGAATTAGTGTTGATATTTTCTTTGTTATAAATTTGAAATGATGAATATTTTTAATTTATTGCCAGGTATAAACTAGGTATCCTTATCTTGTTTTTAGGGAGGTTTTTCCCCTTTTGGGGGGCATGACTACATGTTTCATGTTTATTTGGATGTAAGAAAACACAGCAAATGATGACAGAAATCATTCCATTGTGACGAACACTGCTGCACACTGTATGGTTAGAATGCTGATCAGGGGGCTGAAATCAAGAGGAATTGATTAGGAAAGCTTGCTAAGTTGATAGGATTTGTCAAGTGCTCACAAGTCCATCACAGATCATTTGGTCTCTAGCCACAACCTACTCAAATGAGTTGTAACAGAGGCATTATCGCTTGTGTTGAGCGACTAATTGAGCTAATAACCAATGTTGAATTAAGTGGCTTGCTTCTGAAAATGTTAGGGAATTTCCCTACTTAATACTAATTCTTGGAATTTTTCATTCATTTCCGCTGTTCCTTGGCATCATAAATTAAATGCCACAAGAAAAAGATCTTTGCAGTTCATGATAATTTTCAGGACCAACGTTGTATAACTGAGAGGTCTTCACTTCCAATTTTTAGTTGCATACATTGTGTTTTCTGGTCTTAAGCTCTTAATTTTTACCACAAGGAATTCTTTAGACGACAAAATACATTATGTTTATGTTAAAACATTCTTACCCTGAAATGTTAGAAATGTTGCAAATGTATGTGGTAAAGTTATGTTGCCGAAGAAGACAGAATAGATTCCCAATTAAAATAAAATTGCATGCAATTTGTGTGTTACTGGCTTGCTTCATTTCTCGTGTATAAGAAGACTTGTTTGCAAGGTTTGATTTGAACCAGTGTTTTTCTGTGAACATTTAAAATATAGGCCACCAGTGTTTATCCTTGCTGCCAAATATTGACGCCATATCTTCTCACTTTCATTATAGGCCTATCTGTTAATTTTATCATGTCCGACTTGCTTTGGCCGGCCGGGAGGGGGTCATTTATTCTCTGGTGTTTGTTTTCAATTAAACTGGGTCAGTGTAGTGGACATGCGCAGACGCACGAAATTTTCCGTGAAGTGAAAATGGCCCCCGTTCCTCGTGCATGTTGTGGCAAGCGATGAATTGACTGTCCTGCCTCCATGATCTCACAAACAGTACATCAGGGATGGTGTGCAAGTGCATTTCAGAACATCATGAATTCCGGGCAGATTGAAGTTTCGATACAGCGTAAGTAGGCCCCCATATTTTTGTTTAATCAGAAATATTATCATGTAGGCCTATCACCAAGATACACCAACCGTCCCCCATCCTCCGGGCATGCTGCTGGGCCGAACGTTGTATGTTCGTAAACATCATGAACAAGTTGTCCATTTTCCGGACAGTGTACAGTGGTGTAGGACCTAACCTAGTGCATGCAGTGAAAAGTATCGTGCTATTTGCTCCATCCAGGCACCTGTGAAGTACCCTACTGAGACCCTACTGCCCTATGCACAAAAGTACATGTACATCACTACATGATGTATGAGACTGATCTGAAAATACTACTTACTAGGCTTGCCTAGGCCCTAGCCCAGGTTGGAAGTTGTCATCATTTCATTACGTAGTACGGTCAGGGAATCCACCTGGGCTAGCCGAGGTCCCTAAGTTTTCCACATGAACACCTCAATATTTTAATTTGACTTTTTATATTACTTGTCACTCATGTTAGGCCTAATTGTTCTGTTGTTATTGCTTTCGGATAGCTAATATGCAATTCAAGTCAATTCAATTTCATTTCCACTCCACAAACACAAACATATTCGTGTATCATAATGCCAGGAGGGGTCACGTAAAAAGCAAGGCTTGTTGAGTACAGTAACCAGTTAACTTTAAGGTAAAGTTAGCGGCTTCCGTATATGGAATTCATTCTGTGTTATAAAGGGATTTCAGCAATCAAAAAAGAATTTTTGCACTTGTTCAAGTGTGCCACGTCTGTAAGAATAGGGAACGCTTTGTTGAATAGGCCTATTTATTGTTAACACACTTTAAGAGTATATAATAATTATTAGAATGGTGAGGGCAGCAGTTTAAATTAAAGTTGAAAAGTGGGCTTCAGAAATCAATAAAGAACAAGACACGCAAATACCATGAAAACCAATTTTGTGGGTCAGAGACCGCTAAAGGGAATCTAATCACTGTTGCTCAGAAGCATGCGGACCCGCACATAATAACAAACACGAGACAAAAGACAGTCATAATTAACAGAACACAAACCAATTGGAAGCCCTAAGACTTAAAATTGAGCACTACAAAATATCCTGGTCACAGAGGTGTGTCTTGAGAATGCCCAGGAAGGAATTTAATGAAATAAGCACCATAGCTCACTGGATAGAGGTTGGTACATTGTAAAATATTCCGTAGTCTGGGAAAATGACTGGTTGGAGAATAGAATAAAGCATCGGTACGAGCGGGAAGATGACAGAATGTAAGGGTGCTCAAATGACGTGCATTGATGTGAAGGTTATCACGTATGGATTCACAGTGAACTAAACCATTTAGAACCTTGAAAACAAATGAAGAAAGGCTGAACTTTCTTCTGGAGGAGAGTGTTGACCAATTCAACGAACAGAGTCTGTCTTCATATGACAATTGCCCACTTCATTGGCCCAGAGCAATACAGGTACATGTAGCTGTACATTGAACTTGCTCTAAAGCTTTTGCTGATCAGCAGAGGTAGAGGGGTCCCAAGCAGGTAAACGGTATCACTACACCCATAAATATTCATGAGCAAATCGCATTGCGTCATTGGACGATTCCACCTCGCGTCTGGGAAGTAGAAATGATACCAGTACGTGACCAGGTGACGTCATAGCAGTGGGTATCCACCTCGCTGCCGTGCGGTCGTTTTTTCTGGTAGCATAAAAAAATCCCTCTGGAACCTGCCGCGTAAATACACGTATGTAGTCTGTGTCATGTAATCTTTACGGAACCAGTCTGGAGTTGTATCCTAATAATTATTACAGTAAAGACCCAAAACGAATGTCAACACCAGACTATGAAGCCCTGTTTCTATGCACATCTGCACTCCACTATTATTACATGGAAATTTAGCAGCTGAGAAACAACAATGGCGTCTGTGAGTATGAGTAACCTGAGATTTCTGTTTGAATATTTATAAAGTATAGTAAAACAAATACAGCATGGTTTATTTCAGGTTTCGCAAAGGGAGGTACATGTAGTCAGGCTGACCTACATGTGTACAGTACACCCCGGGATCAGTAATTCCCACTTCTTCCCTTCAAACCATGCTGTATTTGTATATTCCAGAATCAAAAGGACAAGGGATCTGTACAGACAAAAGATGGCAGATGAAGAAGCTCCATGCACTACTCTCTGGATAAAGCCCAAAAGATGGATGGCTTTGGAAACAATGGTGTGTGTGTGTAAACGGGTAAACCTAGCATCAATAAGAATGCCAAGATACTGAAATATGGATGTAGTATCAAGTGGAGTACCTCCTAAGATGGAAACCGGGCATGAATATTTTGAATCCTAGTTAAATGCATTACCTTGGTTTTACCAGTATTGAATGTCGTGGAATGTAAGTTACACCGCTTGTTAAACTGATGTAGGACCTGTTGTAAAGTATGCTCGTTGGGGGTAGAATGAATAATATGGTAAAAGAGGATGTCGTCCTCAAACATACATGTAACACAGTGAAATGAAACAGAGGTGGGTACATTGTTGATGAATAAATTGAACAGGAGAGGCCCTAAAAACACTACCCTGAGGCACATCAGATGTGACATCCACCCATGGAGAGATGGTGCTCCAAAAGAGAACCCGCTGTCTGCGACCAATCAAAAAGGGCCTTACCAAATGCCACCACACACCCTTGCGTCAAAAAGCCTTTGACATGTCTCGGAACACAGCGTCAATTCTTGGAGTGTGATGGTCGTTCAGGGTTGACGACCAGGAGTGGAGAATATTACTTAATTGGGTCAAGCAGCTCCTGTGCTTGACAAACCATGTTGGCAGGGATTCAGCAGACAATACAAGTTGACATGATTCGAAATTGCGAATGAAATTATTCTCTCAAGAACTTTACAGAGAGTGGAGATAATTTCCAACTGGTCAGTAAATGGTCAAAGGGGTTTTGTTGCCCTTTTTATAGACAGGAGTCACATTAGCCAAATGCCAAATATCAGGGAGGTGGTCTGTGCTCAATAAAGCATTAAACAGAAGACTCAAAGGATAAGACATTTACAATGCAACCATTTGGAGGATATTAAACGGATAATGGAAGGACAGCCATCTGGCCCTGGAGACGTTTTGGAGGAGAGATTGTGAAATATGGATGTTACGATACAAAACAAGATCTAGTCTAGTCTAATTTGGACTCTACGAATCACCTACATGTAGACTCTATGAATCACCTCTTTTTAACATTTTGACAAGTGCAAATGTTAAACTACATGTAGGTGATTGGTAGAGTCCATGTTACTCGGACTAAGCTGAGGCTAAATTATTTCCAAAATGGCATCGCAGTGATGGTCCTTTGGTAAGAACTCACTGCACGCAATGCACAGGTTTATGTGCAATTGTCATGGGATGCACTGGGCACATGCGACTAATTTCTGTTTGATTGTACAGTTTTCAGGTGCACAGGGGTACTTTCTCAAGACCGGTTGAAGAATTTCCCTTTGATAAGGCTACACTTGAACTAGGCAGATAGGGACCTAGCTATTTTGTGTAAGACAGTATTTCTTTTTTTAAATTTAGACCTCCGCTCAGTAATATTACTCTGATATGAATTGCATCTTAATTTTACTGTAGTCTTGAATTAAGTCACATCAGGTCTCCCCCCCCCAAAAAAAATTGTATTATGTAGTTCTAATAATAAACAAACTTCCCCCTAACATAATGTCACCCTAACTGTTTTAATCTCTCATTTTCCCTCTTTCCATTAGCCAATATGGACCACGTGGATGATGTTCATATCTGTGGCAGATGCAAAGCCCAGTTCACATCCATAGAAGTCTTCTTTGGTCACAAGAGGACTGGGTGCCAGACAAAGCAGAGCACCCACCCAACTGTTGACACCAGTCTGTTAAGAGCAGCCACTTCGTTTGTAAACCCAGCAATGACAATTGCCAGCACACCCACCAGCATCCCATCCACCACCACCACTACCAGAAAACAACGGCGGAAGCCCATCCTTCTTGCCTCGACACCCAAGGTTGCTCAACCAGTGGCACCCAGCAACGCCACCCCTGCTCAGCCCTGTGACCCCAGCACTTCCTTGAGCGCCGAGCAGAACTTCAATGATTTGGCTCCCACGTGCAGTCCAGGGCTTCCGCAAACTGGCAGCGACACCTTGACACCGAGTACAGCCAGAGAAAGCTTGAGGATTGTGGGAAACTGTACAAGCAAGCAAAGTACAACCACAGATGGCACCAAAACTGAGGGGAAGAGTAAAGTAAAAGGTGAAAAATGCTATAAATGTCTCCATGAAGGCTGTGACTTTGCAACCGCACACTTGAAAGACATCATTCGTCATAAGCGAATACACACAGGTGACAGGCCTTTCTCCTGTAGTTTCTGCCAGCGTCGATTTACCCGCAAGGACAAGCTCCAGCTTCACATCCGCACCCACAATGGCCAGAAGCCCTTCCGGTGTGAGCTGTGCACGTACGCGGCCGTGGATGGGGGCAGCTTGAAGAAGCACATGCGCACCCACACGAAGGAGAGGCCCTTCAAATGTCAGATCTGCTCCTATGCCAGCCGCAACTCCAGCCAGCTGACCACCCACCTGCGAATCCACACTGGCGACACGCCCTTCCACTGTCAGCAGTGCTCTGCCAAGTTCAAGATCAACACGGACCTGCGGCGTCACCTGCGAATCCACACGGGCGAGAAGCCATTCAAATGTTCATTCTGCCCTTACGCTAGTGCCTTGAACAGCAACCTGAAGTCGCACATCAAGAACAACCACCTCAGGGAGAAGAAGTTCCAGTGTGAGGAGTGTAGTTTTACGTGCTGCACCAAGAGACAGCTGCGGCAGCATGAACGCACTCATCCCTCACACAACCCGGTCAAGTGCCTCGAGTGTGGCTTCCTGTGCCAGAACAAGAGAGCCTTCCGCAGACACAAGCGCGTGCACAGCAAGGAGAAACCCCAGATGTGTCCCCATTGCTCATTCACGGCGAAGTACCACAGTCAGGTAGCTTACCACATGAAGAAGTCCCACCCTGATCTCCTCGCAAAACCGAAGCAGCCAAGAAAAGTCACTAAACAGAAGAAGTCCAAAGAGACCGGCAAGTCAGAGAGGAGGAGGAAGCCAAACCCTTCCACGGTTCAGCTGAACGGCAAGAAGCCATACAAGTGCGACGAATGCAAAGATTCCTTCATGCGGAAGGAGTCGTACCTGAGTCACATGAGACAGCACAAGAACCCCAGCATTGAAAGCACTGCCTTGGCCGTAATGCAGCTGCAGCAGCGGCCCCTGGTGCCAACCACGTGCACAGTTCCAACCAGCCCAACCCACCTGATGGGAAGTACATGTATGGCCAATTCAAACCAGAACAACAACAGCATACTCAGTGAGTTGAACCCTACGGCTTCTTCATGCACCAATGATATTGAGATGCTGTTGAATGTCATAAACTCTCAAGCCCCTGTGAATGCAGTTTCTGGCAATCTGGACCCTGGTGTAAATGCCAGGAATTCTGCACCGAAACAGCCACATGAAAGCACAACCCAGGCTTTGGTGTCGACGCAGTTGGTTGATAGTTTCCCTCAAATGATTGCACTTCCAAAACGGCCCAAGCATGGCACCTCCGTGAACAACAACAGCAGCATTGGCAGTCTGCCGCCACACTCTATCACCATTATCCAGCCAGAACAGATCAGTGGTGACAGGGTCACTCTCGAGGTTATCTCGCACAGTGCTGTTGGTGAAAGTTCGCCTGGAACTCTGGACCAGGCCAACACTGGCCTCAACATCTCAGGCCAGCAGTTTGTTCTCAGACAGCTTCCCGTGGTCAGAAATCAACCGTTACTTCACATCCCCCAGTTACAACATCCGGAGTCACAGGTACCACCAACTGTGCAGCCAGCAAATCAACAGATGATACGCAACCCACTGAATCAGACCACACCCCAGCTGCCGGTGCCCATCAGTTTGAGTGTGCCGCACAGGGGCTTCCTTCCTTCATTCAACAGGCCTGTATTTTCTGTGAGCCACAGTGCTGTGGGTGGTGCAACTTTGACCCAGAGCTCGCAACCACAAGGGCTGCCCAATCCGATGCACCCTCAGGGCTTTCTACAACCGCCACCCCCAGTGCCTACAGTTAACCAGCAAGTTGACAACACATCCTTACTTGGTTCTAGTAACTTACAGGCAGACTTGATGCAGGCAGACCTGCAGTGCACAACATTATCATCCACCGTTCCTCAAGTTCATCAACCACCCAGCTCAGCTCAGCAGCACGTGTATAGCAATGTTAATCAGTTTCAAACGGGTATACAGCAGTCACAGGTGGGCACATCACCTGCCTTGCTTCCCTCTGCCAATATGCTGCACACGTTCACCAAGTTCCCCTCACAGGCTTCAAATGTTGACAGCCGCACGGGTCAGCTGCATGTGATGTCCCAGCACCAGCTTCAGGACACCAGACAACATCATCCCAACCACCAGCCGCAGACCTCGGCTCAGGCCACTACTGCAACTCAACTCATTGGCGCACTGTTCGGACAGCATGTCGCGAATCATCCCCCTCAGGTGCCATCACAGCAGCAGCAACGGACTGTGGAACCAGTGAGACACCATTCTGCACCTCCTCACAACAGCATCCTCCACGCACCCCAACTTGCCCCCATTACTGCATGCAGTACCTTCACGTCGCCCAGTTCAGTGGGAGATGTAAACCTCACGTCACTCAGGGTCATGACCGCAGGGGCAATCATCCCAGCCACCCAGCCCCAGACAACAACTTCCATCTAGATTCCTGCAAGGCCCTCTGCAGTCTCCTGTGTGCAATATATATCTGGTAGGTACAACTTTGGTTATAGTTTACAAAAGCGTGTTATGAGATTCACATCTGGTGATGGCACTGTCCAGGGCCACGTTTGATTATGTGATAATGCAGCATACCCCCAACAGTGAAGGTGTCCTCGAGCTTGGGCTCAAATGGCATTCGTATTGCACTATTGAACATAACTAGTTCTGTTGAACATAACTAGTTCTGTCCACTTGGACTGAGTCAGTTCAGGTGATTCATTATTTGAATATTCAGCACTCTTTACGGTCAAATATTGGAATAGATTCATCCAGGAAGATGCCAAAGTTCCAGAACCTTTTTTTAGAGGGGGGTTTGTTTTTGTAGGAGAACGAAAAAATTCAGAAATTTTTCATACAACCTTTTATGGCCATTCTGAGGGTGAGGCTACGTTTTGGGGCTTTGCACCCCCTTTTAGAAGTGAGAGAAATGAAATAGACCAAAAATAGTCTGGTCCCAATTATTTTTGAAAAGCAATTTTTTCTTTCCCTTTTTTTTGGTGGTGGGGATTAGCCTATGTGACGTGTGGCAAAAACTAGGAAGACGCTATTTCATTTGGGAATATTTTGTTTGCTCCGAATTTACCCACTTCAAATAGCACCCTCCTGCTGTGTCTGCCATGCTTTAAAAGGGCTTATGGCCCATTTGCCCCATGGATCCACCTTCGAGTAGATTTCATCAATGCATTAATTCAGTTGTTAATGCTGAGGTTGTTTAGACAGACATGTAAATGTAATTGGAGATGTACATGTATGTCTCCCTTGTTCGGATGGATCCTGCTTTTCGTTGTTGATATTTATGTCTGGCAACACGTTGAAGTTACTTGTACATGTAGCTTTTAAAAAACTTGTTTCAGGGCCTGCAAATATTACTTGGTTACTTGATTAATACAAATCGACACATCAGTTATATGGCATGTTTTGCTGTTCAGTTAGTCAAATGCTTCTTTGTGAAAATAAAGCTTTGTGAAAGTGAATGGTCAAAAATTTTTACACTTCAGCCAAAAATCTTGAGATAGTAATGTCAGCTTGTAATTAATTAATCCTCTTAATGCTTAAACCACTCATGTACAGTGTACATGTAAGTTGTTTTTTGTTTTTGTTTGTTTTTTTACATTTTTCTCATCACAATGTCATTAGTTCTCATTCTGTCAAAAAACAATAGAACATGAACAAAGTGAGGAAACTTATCTTTTCCAAAAGTTGTACGGCCAAAATTTGTGGAGCCAGAATTTGTAGAAAAGCAAAGCACCTGAACAATTGCACAAGACCACAAGAGGGCGCTCGTCACAGCCACCATGAATGAACAATAAACTGCACAGTTAGGTAGATAGTGCCCAGCTTATGTATGCACTACATGTAGCAAATAGTTAGGCATTTTCCTTTCTGGGAACAGCTGCAAATGAGATAGTTACTGATTTGGCATGGAAGCAAAGGGACACTAAATGTCTGATGATTACTATACATGTCACAATTTTTAGTTCCTGATTTGATTCTGTGCGTGCAGGTACATTTATGTGTGAAGATCTGGCATTTCAATGATGTCCATTTTGAAAGATTTCAATATTAACATCCAAGGACTTGCTTGTTATCATCAAAGAATTATGGCAGTGTGCAGTTCTTAAGTTCTGAAAAAATATGTAAATTGACAGTAAATGAAGATGCACCAATAATTTATTCCTCGATTTGTATCAATTCTCCCGTTTCTCACAGTGAATTGTTGAGGGAAAGGATTGACCAAACATTAGATATTTCTTTCACTGGACGCTTCAGTGCTTACACTTTATGACAGTAATTCCTGATGTAGGTCAGGCCATAGTACTGCAGGGTGAAAAACCTCCCAAAACACAAAAGTAAGACGCAGTGGTGGGTCCTTGTTGATGATCTGTGTGATTTGAATATTGCATGGAACACAGTTTCTGTTTCCTTTCCTCTTAAAACAAGGCACACATACACGTACATGCAGTGCCATGCATGGTCCTAACGCTATTGACCAGCATATATTCATCCTTCGGCCATGCACAAAGTTGTGAAGAAAAAAATGTTTCCGGATCAAACAAGGAAAAATATCAAACAGGATCTTCCCCAGGAAACCTCAAAGTATCAACTTATTTTGTTTCCTGTCATTTTAGGCCACTTTGATAACAACACCTGTCACACCATTTCAGTGCTGTCTGCACTTTGTCACAGTTTATCTTTACCAGAACCAGAAGTATACAGTGTTCATGTATAACTGCGGATGTACAAGAATAAATGTTACAATGCTGATATGTCAGTTTAATTGTCTTATGATTGTGAATATGTCCAAGGAAGCACACCAGTTCAAAGCCTTAATCCCTGTTCCATTGAGGCCTGCCCTAGCCCCCTCATCATGGTTAAGTTTCTTTGGTATTTTCTTTTGTAAACAAGAAAAAACCATATGTTGAAACCGTGGTGTAAACTTGTGCAGGGGGATGCAAATCCAATTGCCTGGCCATGGGAATTTGAAAAAGGAAAGGTGCTCACACCCTGTGACACACTTTCTTCTCGCAGTTTTCTCCCTTTTTCATCGCTACAGGCATGATATTCATACTGGTACATTCTGGTTATTGCGAACTTCTGAAATATTAACCAAAATCCACATTTTGCTATGAAAACGTGGCAGGGGATGATTTCTACGTACATCTACGTCCACCTGCATAGCCTATCCTTAGGTTTTATCACTGTGTGTTGAAATGTCAGTTAACATGTATTTTCGTTAAATGTAAGTGAGTGTAGCGATATTGAGATCATGTACTTCTGATCACTAGAAGGAGAATCTTGAAAGAACAAAATGTTTTGTGCATTAGATCTACCCTGGCCCAGTATGTATGTTTATGAAAAACCATGGCATTCATACATGTATATTAATATGCATTCATCATTCCTATTCATATCTTAGGCTTCTTTGATTTACATGTATGAGGCTCTGTTTTAAGTTGTTCCCCACTTGGTGCTGGAGGACCGTGATGTGACAATCTGACAGGTGAAAACATCACATGTGCCTTGACTCACCTCCACCTGACTTCTAAATCATGCTGAACCTCCATGTGTTCACAAAGTCCAAGTTCTGAGTCCTAGAGGCAGACTGTGTGGGGTATGCAAATATTGCACCATGGGCATGCCTGAGAGTTTTGAAAAACACAAGGTTGCGGTGTGAAATACAGGTACCATACGAAGACTGTTCAAATCAGTACTTTGGGGGCTTGGCTGTACATGTATATCAAATTTTAGCTGCTACGAGTATATCTGTCCTTTTTTGGAAAATGGGAATTTTGGGCCAATAATATTACAGACAGCAAATGGTTAAGTTATGCTGGATGGACACAGGCTCATTCTGTTGGTTGAAAGTAACATGTTACATATGGAATATATCACTTTGGAGATCTTCACCGTGTTTGTGTCGAAGCAGTTTTGAAAACACTCTAGTGCAATAAATCTGTCACATGTGAGCCATTTTTATCATTACATGCTTTTGTAGCACCAGAATAAGTAGAAGGAGTGCCTCATTTTGCATTCATTTTCACTAAAAATAGCCAAACCAAAATCAGAAGCCTGCAATGCGAAAACACTTTCCACCCCTGAAATTTTTTGTTACATGTATGTAAAAAAAGAGCACTTTTGAGTATTTAACAGGAAAATGATGTAGAAAGTCCAGTTTCTTTGGATGTTAGAAAAACAATTCAGATGTGTAAATTCCCACTCTTTAGCGCACAAAGTACATGTACAGTGTTTGCCCGCCTCCGAATTGGTTTTAGATATTTGTCCAGTATGGGCACTAGAGCTTGTTGGAACTGTTGCCCATTTCAGGAAAAAGATGTAAAACAAGTCTTTCAGTCCAAAATAAGCTTTTGATCACACGATTTCTGAAGAGGTGTGTAAATACTGTATCTTAAATTCTCCATGCCTGGCAGTGGACTGTTATGATCAAATACAGTTACAAGTGTTTGAGAGCAAACTGTCCGATTATTATCAGAGGTGTGGAAATGCAGCTTTTTTTGTTTAGATGTCGACCCTCAATTTCAGCTTTTTTGCACCTGCTATGTACAAACGTATGGGGACTTCTTACATTTTAGCTATCTGCTAGCTGTTTTCAGCTTCTATTTTAAGTGGCCACTAACACCCCCGTGTTATGTACAGCCCTCTATTATTATTACACCCCTGTAATCCTTAGCGTCACCAAGTCATCAGAAAAAGCAGAATAAACATTCTTTTCAATGATAACTGCTTCGTAGTCAACATTTTCCATATTGTTTAGGCTTATGACAATGTATCCATTCCTTTTTCATGCAAAACATTTATTGGACACATTTCAGCCTGGCCAGTGGTCACTTTCAATGTCTCTTGATGCCAAATTGGCATAAAGTATGAAATTATCTTCGGAGGGCCATTCATGTGCCAGAAGAAAATAAGGAACAAAGACATTTAACAGTAATGAAACCAGTTTGGAGACTGCCCCAGTTGGCGGCTGGACATAGAATTTGAGTCTTGAAAACCTAGCCTATCACTTGGTGTCCTCAGGTTGTGCTCAAAATGCCTCCAGTGTCAGAAGAAGCACAATTTTGACCAATACTTCTTAAGGACCTGAAGAAATACCAGATGCCAGTTCCTTGTTCAGTGTAAATTAGCCGTAAATTACTCCAATTTGATAGTTTTTCCAAAAACTGGCATTACAACCCCCACCCCACCCAAATCATTGTCATTCAGAACAGCGTGATGCCAAAAACTATTTACCCAACCCCATGCTCTTTTAGACAAAACAAAAATAGCCCATTAATTGTCCTGTCTCTGCAATGTGGGTGACTGTTATTAAAGCTGAACGTCTCCTGGGTTATTGATAGGGGGCCTTTGTTTATATCCCGAAAATCAGATTTCTGGGGTCCATTTCATTGCAAGGCCGTTATTTGTCAGGGTTGAGTGAGATTCCATCATCTGGCAGAGGCAAAGCTCTAAGGGATTCATTTCAATCCTTGG